TTAATCTAGATAATTTATAAATAAAATAACTAATAAATAAAAGCATAGATATCTATCAGGATAACTAGTCAACCCTAAACTCTTATACATAGAAAATGAGACTCAATATTTTGACTGCTAATTTTTATTTATCTAAGCTGTTTTCTTTCACTCATATAACTATCTGATTTAGTTCATTAATCCGAATAATGAATATAAAAATGAATTTGAACTAGGGTTTGAAACCAAACTTCTCCTCAACCCCTTCTTCTTGTGCCAAAGACACTGAAAAATGAACAACTTTTCTTCGAAAGAGACCCTGAAAAATGAATAACTTTTCTTCGAAAGAGATCCCGAAAAATGAATAACTTTTCTTCGAAACACATACAAGATTCGTCATTGCAAAAAGGATAATGGTAATTTGTCTTCGAAACACATACATGTCCTTTGTAAATTGCTATCCTCTTGGGAGATTATTGGTTATATTAGAAAAGTCAAAAAGTAAGTTTGTTTGATGAGATCTCAGGTGTATATATATACACATGTACAGGAACATAAAATCTAAGAGGAAAAGTTGTAAAGATCCTATTATATTTGGCGATATGGTCAAATTGGTCAAACTTGGTATATTAAAAATTATTAAATAGTTTATTTTATTTTATATTTTAGAATGCCCCTATCAAGTTTGAGAATGGTACAAGGGCTAGAGTCTATATACCAACTATAAGGGAGTGAATTATAAGATTTGGGCATGGTACAAGAGCCCGAGTCTGGCTAAGAGAGTAAATTTTATGAGATTTGGGCATGTTACAAGAGCCAGAGTCGGGCTTACAAGAGTCAGAGTCTACAAGGGTGGTCAGAGTCTACAAGGGAGTGAATTACGACAAAAACAAACCGAACCTAGTGGTGGGGTTGGGCTCTTATCTTATACTAAGACTAAAGACTCTAATTATTTGTTAATAAAATTTATTTGAGGAACAAAGTAAGAACAAATTTTCAAAGAAAAAACAAAAGCATGAGAATAGCTTTTAAATTGCAATAATATTTGGCAATAACCAATTATAGGCTATTTGTATGAGATGCAACAAACAAATGAATACCCACCACCAAAATCTCTCCCTTATTGTCTCCAACTATTTTAGCCTAAAAATATGAGCAAACAAGCAACTATAAAACACTTCTCCCATCTCCCATTTTCCCCAGACCCGCTCAGATCTCAAGCATTCATCTTGCATACCAAAGAAGATCCCATCTGCTTTTCCAGGCGGGTCTCTCTTTCTCTGCAATTCTTTCTCTTTTAATAACATACCCTTTCCTTTCCCTCTTTTCATCTACCCCACCCCTCATCGCCATGGCCATGAACAAGCTTACCTGCGCCCTCCTCTTCGCCGCTGCCACCGTGAGCGCCGTTGTGGCCTCCGCTGAAGCCCCAGCCCTGGCCCCTGGCCCCTCCTCTGATGCGGCTGCTGCTGCTGTGCCTGCAGTTGGAGCCTTCATTGGCGCTTCTGTTGCATCCTTGTTTGCATACTACTTGTAAAAAGTTGAGCGAGGGAATGAGGAATGAATAGGAGGGCTCTTGGGCAGCAATGACGGGAATTTATGTAACGTGGAAAGAGAGAAACTTGTTAAAGGGTTTTGGTTGATTATTTAACAACAAAAATTTCTTCTATAATTATCTTTTATATTCGTATGGTCAACTCGTCCAGGTTTTTTATCTGGTTATGAAACTCTAACCATTAGATCTCATTTTCAATTAAATATATTTTAATATTTAATATCATAACAAAAAATTATATGAAATCTAGTAAAATAATTTAAGAAATTTAGAAGCGTTTCCAAATAAATTTAAAACAGACTAAATATATATATATATATATATATTCTTCTTTGAGTTTAAGCAACTTGAATATGCTGCGGAGGAGCTTCTGTTTGTACTTTCATGTCAAAGATCTTTTACTCTCTCCCATCTACACATTCTCCCGCCAAATATCTCTTTCTCCATCACCCAACTTGAAAACACTGTGTTCGAATGGCCAATTGAATGAAGCATTGCTGCAAATGGCAATTTTGGGCTCTGAAATGAAGTTCGAAGGTTACGATACGATCTTGAACCAATGCGTTAGCCAAAGGGCTATTAGAGAAGGCCAAAGAGTTCATGCCCACATGATCAAAACTTGTTATTTGCCTCCGGTTTACCTCAGGACGAGGCTGATTGTGTTGTACAATAAGTGCGAGTGTTTGGGTGATGCACGGGAAGTGTTCGATGAAATGCCCCTGAGAAATGTGGTTTCTTGGACCGCGATGATTTCGGCTTATTCGCAGAGAGGGTTTGCCTCTCAAGCCTTGAATCTCTTTGTGGAAATGTTAAGATCAGGTACTCATTTCTTTTTCCCGTTCTATTTGTGAGATGTATAATCTGGTTTCCTTTCCTTAGAATTGGCTTTTTGTACTTTTTGTTTTATGGATTAAGAGAGTTTCTACGGATACTCTGTTACTCGAGGGGCCCCAAAAAGATTGAACACCCTCTTCTAGAATTTTAATGACGGATTAGGAATATTATTGGGATGAATCTTAGAAATATCATTAAGTTTTTAGGAACATACTTGTATTAGAAGAAAAAAAAAAATTAAAGAATTGCATATTGATTAACTTACCCTATTGTCTTGAATCACATTTATTATGTTAATGATAAAAAATAGGGCATTTTTTCAGGTACAGAACCAAACGAGTTCACTTTTGCTACCATACTTACTTCTTGCATAGGTAGTTTGGGATTTAAAATTGGTAGACAAATTCATTCCATTGTCATTAAAAGAAACTATGAGTCCCACATGTTTGTTGGGAGTTCACTTCTTGATATGTATGCAAAATCTGGGAGAATCCATGAAGCTCATGGAGTTTTCCAAAGCTTGCCCGAGCGAGATGTCGTTGTGTGTACTGCTATCATCTCTGGCTATGCCCAAATGGGTCTTGATGTAGAAGCATTGAAGCTATTCCGTCAGCTCCAAAGTGAAGGAATGCATTCAAATTATGTAACTTATGCTAGTGTCTTAACTGCTCTATCCGGACTTGCTGCGCTAAATCATGGCAAGCAGGTCCACAACCATGTCCTTCGGTCTGGACAGTCTTTGTATGTGGTTCTCCTGAATTCTCTAATTGATATGTACTCAAAATGTGGGAACGTCTGCTATGCTCGGAGGATCTTCGATCACATGTCTGAGAGAACTTGTATATCATGGAATGCGATGCTCGTTGGATATAGTAAACATGGCATGGGGCGAGAGGTGCTTGAACTTTTTAAATTGATGAGAGAAGAAAATAAAGTTAAACCTGACAGCATCACGTATTTGGCTGTTTTATCTGGTTGTAGTCATGGACAACTAGAACACAAGGGGCTTGAAATATTTTACAACATGGCTGATGGAAAGGATGGGATTGAACCAGAGATTGAGCATTATGGTTGTGTTGTTGACTTACTTGGACGTGTTGGCAGAATAGAAGAGGCTTTTGATTTCATAAGAAAGATGCCTTATGTGCCTACGGCTGCTATTTGGGGATCGCTGTTAGGTTCGTGTCGAGTCCACTCGAACGTCGACATTGGCATAATTGTGGGTCAGAAGCTTCTAGAAATAGAGCCTGAAAATGCAGGTAACTATGTTATTCTCTCAAATTTGTATGCTTCTGCAGGAAAATGGGAAGATATGAGAAATATAAGGGACGTGATGCAAGAGAAAGCTGTGATAAAGGAGCCAGGTCGCAGTTGGGTGGAGCTCGATCAGATTGTCCATACTTTCCATGCAAGTGATCACACTCATCCAAGAAGGGAGGAGGTGGCGAGGAAGGTGAAAGAATTAGCCATTAAATTCAAGGAAGAGGGTTATGTTCCCAACTTGAGTTGTGTGTTGTATGATGTGGATGAAGAACAGAAGGAGAAGGTACTTCTAGGCCACAGTGAAAAGCTAGCTATGGCATTTTGGTTGATTGATGCTCCTGAAGGAGCAACGATCCGAGTCATAAAAAACCTCCGAGTTTGCGTCGATTGCCATAGTTTTGCCAAATTTGTGTCGAAGCTTTACGCAAGAACGGTAATCCTAAGGGACAAAAACCGGTTCCATAATATAGTTGGGGGAATATGTTCTTGCGGAGATTATTGGTAAAAGCTTCCAAGTTAGAAATAGCAATGACTTGTCTCATCTCTGCTACTATTAAGATTGCAACTATGTTGCAGTCTAGAACACATGAACTGAAGTATGATTCAAAGAAAGGTGAAGAACAGTTCAAGATCAATATTTAATTCCTAGTTTGGAACATCGTGGTGCTGTAGCAAGACATCCAAACTGAAATCTTACGACACATCATGAGGTTTTCAACTTCGGGATTTTTCTGAACCTATTGAATCCATTAGCGTTCTCATTCACTTGGAGGTTGAAACAAGTTGGGGTGTCTACGGGCGAAACGATCTCCAATAGCTCGAGATCAAGGTGTATACCAAATGGATGCCATATGTACCGAACGTGAATAGCTAATGGGAACTAAAGATCCCATTTTTAAGTACGTTACATAACAGATCATATATGGAGATCGCACAAAAGAATGAAGACCTCGGGTGAAGAATACTTTTAAACTTCTATTCAATAATGTCTAAATTGATTCTCTCTTCGTAAGTATACTAAGTAATTATTACAAGTAATTACCATTCGAACTCAATAACGTACCTATTACTGTATTATAGATTATGATTTAGCTCTATAGATTCAATATCGATTTACTTTCTACTCTGAAGAATCTTGTCAAGAGAATGAATAATACATTTGATTCTCATTTATTCATGTTTTGATCTACATACAAAATACTCTCATGTTATTGCAAAATTTAATTAAATACATTAATTTGTTAGATCAGATAATCACGAGCCATTCAATCGAAATGAACGGTTGATATCAAAAGTACAATTCTGTTAACGGTACGCCACTTGTAAAGATCGTCGCGCGGTAAGTGGAGAAGGGTAAAATTCGGCGACTGAAAATAAAAAAAAACTCGATCTTGCAAACACCCATTGTGTTCTTCATCGGATCGGATCGGATCATAAACTACTCAGGCTCTGCGATTCTTGTTTGCACTTGGACCCTCTCCTCGAATTTCTATGGCGAAGAAGAAGAAATCTAGGGTTCCTATGGAAGAAGAGGAGGAAGAGCAAGTTGAAACTCCGAGTGAATCTTACGCCACTCAGAACAGCCTCTACGAGGTACGGCGTGTGTCTTTTATGTTAAGGATGATTTGTGGATTGACGCACCATTTTATCTCGACATTCTTTTGCCCTACAAATGGAGTCGAGTGGCGTTTTCGTGCTTCATTATTTACGGCCTATGGTGGATGTTCTTGTCTTATGATGTGTAGCTCTTGCTTGTGTTGTTGGTTTTGAATCCTTCAATTATACAAGTTGGAAATCGTTGTTAATACTCAAATTTCTAGCCTTTCTTTAAATTTGGCGGGAAATGGTCGATTTTGAGACAAGAACAGAGCTAATCCGATCAATTGATGGCGTTTGTTCTTTTTCTGCGTTTTTTTTCAAATCTTGTTCTGCAATTCTTTGTGCTGTATCCAACTTTGCCTAGTAAATCAGTAGCTCTCAGGTTCTGTGGGAGTGAACAAATTCAGCTGCCCATATCAATGAAACAGGAGAGGACCCCAGATTTCTTTTAGCCTTACGAATTAAGACTATATCTATCTTACACAATTTTTATCCTTTCCCTTTGTCACTTTACTGAAAGTTGTTAGAACACCGGGATTTTGATAATGAGTTGCAATCGTGTGAGATCCCACATCAATTAGAGAGGGGAACAAAGCATTGTTTATAAGTTTGTGATAACCTTTCACTAATAGACGCATTTTAAAACCGTGAGGCTGACGGCAATACGTAACGAGCCAAAGCAGACAATATCTGCTAGCGGTGGGCTTGGGCTATTACAAATTGTTTGAATGTAGCGATGAAAGAACATAGGAATTAACTGCATCCCTATCAAATCACTAGTATGGCTATCGAAATCGTGAGCATCAGCATGAAGGTTCCAAATCCAAGTGGTAGTATCAGAACCCTTAGCTATTGTTCTCGAGAAATGACCCGGTCTGGCCCATTCCTCGAAAGAAGTTTTTACGGTGTGTGGTTCCTTCACTTCCCAAATTTGGTATATAATAATGGTTGCAGGTTCTTGGAGTGGAGAGGACAGCTTCTCAGCAGGAAATAAAGAAGGCATACTATAAGTTGGCGCTTCGCCTGCATCCTGATAAGAACCCTGGAGATGAGGTGATGAATGCTAATTTTACATCTGCAAAATTTAGTTCAGTGTTTTTAAATTGATTTTTGCTCTATTTTGTAATCATTTGTTTGAAGTTATCTATAGTTGTTTACTTGTTACTTTCATCCCTTCAGGAAGCCAAAGAGAAATTTCAGCAGTTGCAAAAGGTTATGTCCATTCTTGGGGATGAGGAGAAGCGTGCAGTTTATGATCAAACAGGCTGCATTGATGATGCTGTAAGTACTCACCCAACTTATACTTTTGGACATTTGTAGTCTACTGATATAGGATGAGGACTTGAATAGTAGATTGATGCATAAGGTTGCTACTCATTTACCGGACACTTCGGAACGAACAATTGAGCATTCAACGTTTTTATGCGTGCTATTAGACTTAGTGTAAACAGAATTGCAATCTGATGTCTTTCTGGATTCTTTTCACATCAGGACCTTGCAGGGGACGTTGTTCGGAATCTTCATGAGTTTTTCAGAACGATGTACAAAAAGGTTTCACTTTCACCAAGTAGAAAGATCAATACCTTTATAATATCAATGGAATTAGTTTGTAACTATGTATGGTTAATGGTAGGTCACTGAAGCTGATATAGATGAATTTGAAGCAAATTACCGAGGATCTGAATCAGAGAAGAAGGATTTGATTGATTTGTTTAAGAAATTCAAGGGGAATATGAACAGGTAATGAGAGTGTCTCATAACTGTCCTGTTTTTATGTGCACTTGCCAAGTTGCATTCTTAAGTTTCTTCTTCCACAGGATGTTCTGTTCTATGCTTTGTTCGGATCCCAAGCTTGATTCGCACAGATTCAAGGATATTTTGGATGAGGCTATAGCTACTGGTGAGCATTCATCTTGCTTTTAGATTGATGGCTATGTCACCTAACCTTCTCTTATATTGCTGCTCTAGGGTTGCTATGGCTACCTCCCTCATCCTAGGATTTGTTTTGTTGATACTTTTAGTACATTTCTTTGCAACCCCCTTCGAAGTGATGATGCTAATGTTGTCCTTTCTTCCTTGCATTAGGGGAACTGAAAGTAACGAAGGCCTACGAGAAATGGGCACGGAAAATATCCGAAACAAAGCAACCTACCAGCCCTGTGAGGAAGAGAGTGAAGTAAGTTTTCAGTGTGTTTTATCACTTTCTACAACTTCGATGATGGTACTTCAACTTTTATACCAGTCAAATCTAGATGACCGAAGAGCTTACTAAATGCTTGGATTTGTTGACAGATCCAATAAAGAGTCAGAAACAGATCTGTATGCAGTAATATCTCAGAGAAGGAATGAGAGGAAAGATCGATTTGATTCCATGTTCTCATCTTTGGTTTCTAAATATGGGGGAGGCAATTTGTCAGAACCGACTGAGGAAGAATTCGAGGCTGCCCAGAAGAAGCTAGAGAGCCGAAAGTCGTCCAAAAAATCCAAGAGGAAGAGGAAGTAAGTCTCTCATCTATGATAGGTAAATTGCTTGATCAATTGTTAGATTCTGTACAAACGTTGTAGCTCTGTGCTACTGAATGACTTCAGAAATGTTGAGACAATGGTTTCCATGATGGTTGTTCTTAACCATTTGCAACAAATGAAGAATTCAAATAATCAAAGTCTTCAACAAACCACTATATAGCAACCTCTTAAATGCAGAGTACAATTATTCTATACACATTCTTACAGAAAGAAAAGAAGATACACTTTCAGGATTCAAATAAACCACAGCTTTCATTCTCTTAAATAACCTGAATGAAAGTTCAAGAAAGAGATGTTACTCACAGTTGATGGTCTAAAATCCAAAGGATTATTCCACTGTAATGATCCATCATCATCATCAGACCATTTCATATCAACATTTTCGAAACTCAATCCTTCAATATGCTCCATAATCATACCTGCCATCCCATGTTTAACAAAGCCTTGGCAACCCGGTCTGTAGTCTGCTATACCACCACCATATTTTGTCCATCTTTTGTAGGTCAACTTCACGTTGTTGAATCTCAGATTACTCAGAACTCCGGATTTCGATCCCGACAAGAAAACCCCATTTTCGGAGGTTGCTGTGATGTTTATGAAGTTTACGTTGGAGATTGAACCCTCCTTCGAGCCTGGATCTCTAGGGCAAGTCGTAACGTAAATTGGCTCAGCTCTTCCCCACCATGAAGGATCATAATATCTTGTACTTATGTTCATGTTTGAGAATGTAATGTCATTTGCACTTCCTACAGGAGAAAAGAAGAGAGAAATTCATTATGGTTCTGAAAGCTTAATGGCTGGAAATGAATCTGTCCTCTCAGGTTGAACTAGCACATCGAATTTCAGAAACATGAGATGGGCTAAGAGCCAGAGCTTAGCTAGTATTACAACTCAGTGTCAGATTTAGAAAGCCTGGATTATCTGTTTCTTAATGGGATAGGAAAGGAGTGGAGATTCAAACCACTCCGATCTTTTGGTGGAGAACATGTCTTAACTTATCGAATTATCTTCAAGTTGGTAATATAAAAATAGGTTTCTATTTGTCTGAATTTCTGTATTTTGCTCCAAACCCACGTCTAAAAGGCTGAAATCTTGTTCTAAAAGCAGAAGACTGTTACCTAGAACGGCTCCAAAAAGACTAAAGTCTGAGCATCACAACTAAGAAGGGAATGGAAAACTGACCTCCATCGCGCAGCTGGAACCCCAGACCTCGATGAGAATCGACAATGGTGATGTTGTCGAAGAGCATTCGGGTGAAATTGAACCAACTGGCGCTACCCAGCTTGATGGCAGAAGATTTGGTTCTAATCCAGCAGTTAGTGGCAGTTAAGTTGAAGACAGGGCCATTAGATGCTTTGGGGCAGATTGCATCATCCCCAGTGTCGATTCTGCACCTTGTAATGAAGGTATTATTGGAGTCTTCAATATCAATCCCGTCGTTGTTTGGTGTATCGAAATCTCCATAAATTGAAACATCTTCGATGATTGTGTTCTCACATNGAACCAGGTGCAAGCTGCATAAAATTTCACTTAAGAGAAATGCAGTAATTATGTAAGAGAGAGGGAGAGAGGCAGAGGCAGGGAGAGAGTCCCACGCACCACCAGTGAGCAGGCTGATTCAAACTAACATTCGAAACCCTAACATTCTTCGACCCGATGAACCCAATCAGATCCGGCCTGCACTCATCGCCATAGCACGCCCCGGTCTTGTTCCAACTCACCATCACGTTCTTCCTCTTATCGAACTTCTCCACGAATTTCAGCCCCTGCCCATCCACCACGCCTCCGCCGATGATCTCGACATCGCTCGCGTTCTCCGCCACCACCGCGTACCACCTCGACGAATCCATGGGATAGTCCTCCATCCTCGTTCCGGCAAGCACGGTGGCGCCAGGTTGGATGTCCAATACGACGCCGGATTGAAGCCATATCGTCGCGGTCAGGTAGGTACCCGGCGGGAATATAACGTAGCAGCGGACCGGCGAGGGGCAGCTGTTAATAGCGGATTGAATCGCTGCAGTGTCGTAGTGGACTCCATCGCCGATGGCTCCGAAGTCGGTGACGGAGAAAGAGGTTGATCCGCCGGGAAGTCTGATTGAGGGAACAACGCAGCGTGAATGGATGATGAGAGAGAAGAAAAAGAATAATAGAATTGCCATTGGATGTTGATTCATCTTCATCTCTTGATTCAGATTTTTCCTTTCCCGTCTAGATATATTTTTATTTTATTAGAATTGAAAAGCTCTCCGGTACTTACTTGGTGGGCGAATAATGGATTACGTTAGATTTCATTAAGATCACTGAAGAAATTCTTAGTGAATAGCTCAAAATAAAATTAGATTAGCAAATGAATATTGGAAAGTATGTGTGGAGTAGCAATCACAATCAGTAGAATTTTAGTCCGACAGTCTTTGAGTATTGGCTTCAATCAAAGCAGCCCCCAAATTAGTATACACATTAGAAATTTAGATACCAAATCAAATTCCTCTCTGCATCTGTCTTCTTCGTCGTTCTTCTTCTCCTTGAACACCCAGTTGAATGTGGAGGCAGATTCTCTACTTCTCTGCTTACTTCTATCACTATTAATATATTTCGCTATATACACGGCTGCTACCTACAACTAAAATATAATGCTGCCTTCACGCCTCCATCTTCAACTGATTTCGAGTGTACAGATGCTGTTTCATACATAGTTTATCAGTTGAGCTATGATTAAATTGGTAATTTTATTGTATTACAGAATAAGATCATAGAGTAATAGTTGTATACCTGAATTTGCTGAAGAGTCGTAACTTAAAAGAGAGTTTTCAGGAGTGCTGAAAGTATGAAGGTTATGCTCGTCCCTCGCCCCCGCTAGCTGGTTAACTACTGCTGCATCAAAATGCCATTGCTGTTGATATTGTTGTCTGCTTCCACTTGGGGAGATTTCTGACCACATCAATGGCATAACCATGGTTGGAAGGTTGCTTTCGTGTACGGGTTCGTTCTGAGATTTCAGTAAACGATAACACGACGTTAAATCTCAGTCGCTAGTTCACGGAAAGTTGACAAAGAAAAAGAAGCAGATGCGCTGATATACTTACTTCTGCAGCCAATATGCTATCAATGTTGAAATCAACTCTGGGGTTAACTGCTGCAAGCCTCATTGACAAGAACTGCAACACAGCAAGTTCAACACAAGTTGGTTGATATATAAAAAGAAAATAACTACTGAAAATGATGCATATTGGCTCTCTCTCTCTCTCTCTTTCCTATTTTGAATCGAGGAACACGCAAGCTAGTCCGAACAATCATCGATGGAGCCACCAAAAAGAACAACTCCAGGAGCTGACATACATAAAACAAGGTACATAAACGTATTCTTGTCGAGCTTATACATTTCTATCTACCTAGTGGTATCATATACGTATCAATTCAGAACGAATCTCAAAACGTTTAAGTAAGATTCTGACCTCCACTTGACGCTGCAGCGATTGTACATGGTTGATGATTTCATCCAACACTAGAGCTGTACCTGAGATCTACAGAGACAGAGGAAGGAAGAAAACAAATAAAGAACTCAGTTTCTAACTTGCAGACTACTTCATTACATTTGATATGAATAGAAAAAAAACAGTTCAGTGCTTAACGACATCTAATCTTCTTCTCGACTTCTGAATCTTCACAAGACTATAATGTTCAAACTACACGGTACATGACAAACGAGACGGAGTCAGTCTCAATCTGTTTATTTCAAACGTCTCGTAATTCTTCGACTCACTCTATCACGGCTATTCACAACTCCGGGATGCATATCTTTTTCTAAAAACGCTCACATTCTCCACGTCCTCAGATAAGTTAGGTGAGGAAGTTGCTGTTCTGTCATCCCATATTTGCATCCCGTTTATGATGGATGCCTAACTTAAAATAGATGGAAAATAGCATGGACCCTCAAATGAGTATCAACAACCCAACAAGCATATGGGACCCCTTCTGATTCCCCCAACTCCTTCAAGGTAAGTCCAGCTTGCATTCCTTTGGAACTAAATTTCCAAGCCAATCAAAGTGAAAATTGCTGAGATTTCAAGCAATCTCTATGGATGTAAGAAATATTAAGCGAGCATCGTACGAATAGAATACACGATAAAGTTGACTGCGAACTTTTACTCATTTGAGTTCTTCCCGAACCAAAATAAACAAATAACATCTAACTCCATCTTCCCATTTGGGAATTCGAATTTTTAACCTTTTGATCGAGAGTATATGCCAATTACCATTGAACTAGGCTCACGTGGGTAGAATTCAGATTCCCGACAGATGCTCGAGAGAAGGTAAGAAAGGAAAGATGAAGAAAAAGACCTACTGGGCACTTCCCTTGGCTCAAAAGCAACCACTTTATTACAGAAAAGGTGACAATGACAAGAACCGTTATTAAAGTTCATAATCCAAGAACCATAATTCCACTTTTTGGCAGACAATTAGAGAGAAATCACAATAAAGCTCCACAGATTGAATCAAAGAACATTTAATTATGATAAAGACTGCATAACTACGAAGACTACTGACCTTATTGCATCCAGGGACCAGTTCTTGAAGTAGCTTCATCCGAGCATTGATTTTCTCTCTCCTTGCCTTTCCAAACCAAAAGGGAATAAAGTGTTAATTCAGCACAGTTAATCAGACTAAAATTGATGATCAGATCTTAAGTACTGATTAATTAACAAAATTACTCGCTCTGCTAGGCTATGTTTGTCTGTCGCTTGACCACGGCCGGCTCGGACATGAACGTAAGGGAGCTTCTCTGCATCTTCCTGGCTCTCGTTCTTGCTCTTCTTTGATGACCCTTTTCCCTGAATTGGTTAAACATTGTAATTGATTGAAATTCAGACATGGAAATTGATGTAGAAATCAAAGCCCTAGGTTTCTTTGTATTTGTTCTTTTGAAATTTTTGATTATCGGTTACCTTTTTCTCGCGCTCCTTCCTCTTCACCGATCTCTGATTCGTGTTGTTCTCCACCGCCGGGTCGGAGATTTTCGGATACAAGTGATTAGGGTTCGAATCGGTTTCAATGGTGGGCTCGTTCTTCACTTTCTCCAAACTGACGCTCGAATTCAACGGCACTGAACTCGTCGTCTCCGGCAGTTGCTCTTCAGCCACGACAGAGAATTTGGCGTCGTGTTCGTTTAGAGGCGAGTTCGTCGGGAAGGTCAAATTGCAATTTAAGGCACTGAAGTAGGGTTTCGGAACGTATTTGACACGGTGGTGAACGGAATCATCCTTCTTAACCTCCGCGGAATCCGGCGAGTGGAGAAGCTCCAAAGCCTGCGTTGCCGGAAGTTCCAAAAGCGCCGTGAAGGAGCTAGCATTTTCCGACGGAATCGTCATCAACCCCTGAATTTCTTCAAAGAATTGATGCGATTCAAGTCCAGTGTAATTCAACTGACGCCTGATGGGACTGGATCCACCAACAGTCCCCACTTCAATCTCCATTTACAGTAACAACAACTTCACAAATTCCCCTTCACCTTCACCAAATTCCGAGCAAAACCCAGCTCCTCAAATGTGGGATTACAGAGCTAATCGATCAATCAGAGGGGAAATGGAGGTGAATGAAAGAGAAACAGAATCTGGGTATGAAGGAAAAGGAAACTATCTTCAATGGCAGCCAATCTACTTTCTTCCTCCTCTTAATAATCAGTCGAGATTACTTCTGGAACCCATTTGAAGTATGGCGAAAGCAACGTTGCTTGATGGTACCGTTCAACTTGGAGTGCATAATTATACGCAAAACGGAGTTTTGTTTACAGAGATCAGAGATAAAGAAGCAGAGAGAAAATGGTTTCTACAGATTTTACCCTCTACAGTTCTTCCTCTGATGATATAGACCTTTGGATGGACCACCAACACAATTTTTTGTCCCTTTTTTTTTTTTTTTCTTCTTTCATTTCTCTTTTTCTAGTTAATCTTCAAATTTCTTCTCTCAATTTTTAGCCACTTACTTTTGGATTACATTTTTTCTATGATCAAACCAGATGAAATTTTTGTAATGAGATTTGTTTTGGATAAGGGGAGGATGGTAATTTTCATTGGTTGATTTCGAGTGGAGAAGATAGAGCGTTTTAGAATGAGACGAGCGTTGAAGGAAGAAAGAGAATAATTTAGATGTTATGCTTAATGTCTGAGTATCATAATCCTAATTTCGGTTTATATAGTTAGACAAGATTAGCTCATCAATGAGATAGAGATGAGAAAGCATACCATTTTGGGTCATTTTCTACCGGTGAGAACACTAAGTATCCCCTCCACTTAAAAAGAAAAGGAGCGTTATTCTCCTTATCAATCAAGTGCCAGATGGCTTTTCGACAATGCTATAGAGTCATTTCATGAGCGGAAGATGGGGCAGCATTAGGAGAACCTCGATCAATGTAAACAATACAAGTTAAGTGTATAAACAACCTTCCCAAGTGTTTGTGAACCTAAAATCACCCACATAAGTGAAAACTGATGGAGGGTTGTTTGTGGCTAAATCTCATGTGCCCTTGTTTTTATTCAAAGAATTTAACTCATTTTAATTAATTAGTGATCTTATACTCTAAATTATATACGCCAAAATATTATATTAAATTTTATTTTATGAAATACGGTTGCTAAAATGATATTTTAAATAATTATTTATTGAATTAAAAAAAAAATGAAAATTTTATATTGACGGAGAATTTGAAAGAGATGTGAGATAGTGTGGGATGGGATGGCACTATCAAATGAGCTGTAGTCATGATTTCAAGTGGCTCCCACAAAAAAATTAAACTAAGAAAATAATAATATTTACCAGCAATATTTTTTAAATTTTCTCATCCTAATTTAATTTAATGCAACCTTTTATTTTCTCTACTTTTAAAAAAATATAAATAAGAAAATAGTTTGAATAATAATAATAATAATAATAATATGTAATTGAATTTGGTTGGGTACGTATTTGTGAGGATAGGGAAGCAGCAGCCAAACAGAGTACAATAATGAAATGTCGTCCGTTTTTAGGCCCATTAGCCCATTCTAAAGGTACTTCCCCCATAAGGGCCCACTTCATCCTCATGGGCCCACTTCTCCTTTTTGGGCCCACTCCATTTATGCCCACACTTTATATTATTTATGGATGATTAATAAAATTGAAACATAATAACCTTATAACTGAGGATGGTTTTTATAAATTTTCCCAAAAACATTTATTTCAATTTATTAATCCATTATTAAGTAACCCTTTGGATGAATACATTAAATAAAAAGAGCAGAGGCTATTGGGCCCGAGGTCCGACAAGTGGTGTGAAGTGGTGGGCCGAGATGTTGGGAGGACCAGTTTCAATGGGCCCATAGCTGAAGATGTAGCCTAAAGTAGGGGTGGGCCCATGTTCCAGTCTTTTATATATTTATTTATTAAAAAAACCAATGATTAATAAGTGAAAAATAGTGACATATGGGGAGTTGAGGTAGAACTAGATAAAAGTGAGTTGTCTTAGATATGTCGTCTATCTTTTATTTATGTGTTGTCCTACTCTTTTTCTTTTTTTTTTTTTTTTTTTTTTTTTTTTTTTTTTTTTTTAATTTCATTCTCTTAGTTTTTAATAATTTTTTTAATTTACGAGGCGTGTGACTACTTGGATTGTGTACCATAATCATCATCGGACGAGTTAACTCATGATACACCAACGAGCACCTCGATAACGAGGAACCATAAATCTAAAAGGTAAAACATGAGTTGAAGCGTCATATATAAATAAAGTTGAGCATCCCGATGGATCACATGTGCTAAACTATTATTTAGACCTAAGCTTAGCTTCGACGTAAAGCCTAATGATCGTACAACAATGTCCGGAGATAAGCTAAATTGTACTACCTTCCACAAATCGAATCACTCAAACCTACATCATGATTTTTTGTCCAGTTTTAGGTTAGGGTTAGATCTACTTGTTGGGTGTCAATAGCTCAACTAATTTGCTCCAATTAATATACCTTACAACGTCTATGATAAATTATTTTCACTAACATTTGTTTAAAAAATAATAATGCAATATCAAAATTATTTTTTGAAACTTAAAAAATATTATCTGATTTAATGAAATTTACATGTTTAACCCCAAAAACTTACCAACTTATTAGTATTTTTGAAAATTAGTTCAACATATAGATTAATTCATAAATTAACAAAAAAAAAAAAAACGTGTAATTCTTTTTCCCCTTGAAATTCCGGCGATGCACAAGCAATAATAAATAATAAATAAAACAAATGAAAAAAAAAAGGAAAAGAAAGAAATAGAGGGTGATGGTCCCAAGGGAGGCAACTTGTCAAGGTAAGTGGTGGGCCAGGAAGTGGGCCGACATGTAGGGAGTACCAGTTGTAAAGGGCCCGCCCACACTGAAGTTTTAATTATTTTTTTAATTAAAATTTTTATATACGGTTAAAATAAAATAAAATAGTTAATAATTAGAAGTAGGGCTAAATAAGTAAAATACACTGATTATGTCATCTCTGCCAAACTTGTCCACCCTCCCAGACTATATATACTATACAGCTACCCTCCCCTATGCCTACATTTGAGTCCATCTAATTTTGGTGTCGGGTCTAAGGTATTTGTTTGGACATAGGCTTCGTTTTGACGTAGGGTTATGTAGCCTAGAACACCGTTTTGTTAACGCTAAGTATCACAGTTATGCTAATCCAAGCCACGTACTCATTCCAAACCTTTTATCATATACGTTGACCAAGAGCACTATGGTCGACTCTAGAGCCACTTACAAATTGATGACATGGGTCGAAACGAAATGACTAAACCTATTTTGACATCCAGATACAAGATGTTCAGTAATGTACATGATTTAAGGAACACTAAAGTTTTGATATACTGACCCCTTGATTTGCAGGAATTTGCAAAGCATCGTAATGGCCAAAACCATGGTACAGAACTGTGATGGGATTTTGTTTGCCATATTCATCGCCATATTCAGCAATGGATATCAACCCACCAGAAGCTTTATCGTACATGTACACTATGATAGGTGCACTGCAGCAGCAACCACAGCCTCCAATCTTAACAAGCAATTCATTCATATGCCACAGTAGAGAAACAAGTATTGAGAGGAAGCGCTTACTGAAGAATATGAGAAGCCATGAATAGCTCGGGCTCGCCTCCCCATACGCGTGGTTTTCGCATATTAGACACGTACGTGTCGAAATCGCCTTCAATGAACCTATTGTCAACACAGGCAGGATGTTATTGTGAGACCAGGATGGATATGGGAGAACCTCATCTTGTTCTATACGGTAGAGCCAGTTTAGTCATTGAACTTTCAAATTTGTATCTAAAAGGTTCTTAGACTTTAAAATGTGTTTAATAGATCTTTGAATTTTAAAAATATCTAATAAGTTCCTGAACGTTCAACTTTGTGTCTTAAGAGATCCTCACAAACTTAAAATTCTTTTGAGAGAGAGAGAGACACCATTCTGTTTCCTCTCGTCTCTTGATAAACTCATCTGCAACCTGAAAGATGAGTGATCTATCATTATAAGTGAAGGGCCAATTTTGCAAAGAAATTGGTCTGAAATATGGATTCTTGTCACCATGGTATTCTTTTAAAAACAAACTAATAAAACTTACTTTAGTCCGCAACTCATCTGCCAAATCTCTCTGAAGGTTCTGGCTTGGAGCTGGTTTCCCAGATCGTAAACAAGCACCATGAGCGACCGAGCGGAACAAACATCGTCCATCTCCGGGAATTCCTGCCCAGAACAAACAATTTGCTACAATCAATTGTCGATTTGACCGTTTAACGTAAAAGAAGATGTAGAAGGCTCCAAAGCTCACCTATAACAGAATACTTAGTGTAAACCTTTTTTCCATGAGAGAGTTTGACATGAGAAGAATCAGAATTTCCTTCATTATCCTCTTTCTCACAAGCTGCTTCAGCATGGACTGGTTCACAAGTTGAATAACAAGCCATCAGATGCACATCTTTCTGGCCATCGTATGTTATATTTGATCATCATTGGGGATTGAGAGTTTTATATTCATACCTTTGCATGATAATGAAATTTCAAGTCCTCTTCCACACAACCCTTCATCTGTAATCAAATCTTTGACCCTCAAAGACTTCAACTCAATTGGCTGTCTGGAGAAGCAATAACTGAGACAGCCTCCCTGAAATCTTTGGCTAGTATTTGGTGAACAAGAGGACATTGTGGAGATGGTTTGATCCAAACACTTTGGTCTTGAAATGCCATAGGAACAGCAAGAGTTCGATGTCCTTCGAGACAGCACGGTACAAATGTTGCTGCCCATCTGTGATCGAACACGGAAGAAGTTCAGAGAGACAACATTCCTCGTGCAAACGCTTATAGAGCCAATAGGCATGCTGGTGTAGCCTGAGAAATTAACAGAACAAAGAAAGAGGAAACAAGTCAGAAATTGAAAGAATTCCATAATTTGGACCAAAAAATTTGAACGCCCTTCTTTTATCTCTGATGCTTAACATGAACAAACCAATGCTGGTATATCATCTATAGCTACAAGGGCCAAAGAAGTAGCTATCTAAATTCGCTGAAAGTAACAATGAAGTATACGTGTCGATATATCGTGGAGTCGGAGCCCATAATCATATGATAGGGATGCCTCTCGTATATTTAATTACACTCCTTCATATGATAGGGATGTCTCTCGTATATTTAATTACACTCCAGCAAATAATTTCAAAGTTGGAATTGTTGATGATATCCCCTTTTTAAATTCCTTGAACAGTTTTGGTCTTAGTCACAGGAAAGCTCTCCTATAAATACAAGGTTGTATACTTACTCTATGAGTCAACGAAAAATCGATGTTTACAAAAGCATTAACATACGCTACTTCTATTAGTACTGGACTTTGAGTCAAATTGATCGTGTGTCATGTGCAACGTCCATCGATTTAGACTCCTTCCACCTTCCTAACTACAAATAAGATGGAGAGGAGCCAAACCAAACCAAGAACGAAAACGAATTCGATGTCTACAAAAACATTAACATACAGTCCAAAAATCATATGCACTTAAACAAAACCTTTGTTCAGGAATACTACAAAATGATCATGTTTCTTTGTTGTAATATGGAATATGATGCAGTACAATAAGCTCGTGTAACTTGAATCTCACAGCTTCAAAAACTGAAAGGCTTTTAACAATAGTGAGGTTCAGATTTTGAGCTGTGGAATTTTACAAAATTGACAACCTACCATATCACAAGTGTCAAAGAGAGGGTTAGGCTTCATAGTCCAATTAAGCTGGAAAATTTGGATGTTATCTATGTGCAGCACAACCCAAATGGAACTCCTTAACTGTGGAATACAACTTTAGTAGGTATAAGACCTTTTTTGTCGGATCTCCCATCGATTAGATAGGGGAATGAGTGCTAGCGAAGACACTAGGCCCCAGAGGAGGTGGATGTGAGATCTCACATCAGTTGGAGAGGGGAACGAAGCATGCTTTATAAGGGTGTGGAAATCTCACCCCAACAGATGCGTTTTAAAAACCTTAAGAGAAAACCTAAAAATGAAAGCCCAAAGAAGACAATATCTACTAATGGTAAGTTTGGACTATTACATTTCCTCATAAGTCTCAGCCGGTAAAGGACTTAGCTATAATAACAAACTAATATACAATGCAACAATCTCTTTAAACGGAACAATTTCATAATCCATCAAATTTTAAATGTTCATCCTTTTGAGTTTAACAAGAGAGAATTCAAATACGTCTTAACTAGTTGAGCTATGCTACGATTGGTGATTGGTGAATAAACGATGCTTGTTATAAACAGCCTTAAAATCACAAATATCCATGACTAAGAATTACATTTCAGCTGCAATAGCTCAAGTTCTGCCAATATGAATTCACATTATGTTACTGAAATATAAAACCAAAGTTCAAGCAGACGATTATAAATTCACACACCCAAAAGAAAATTGACAACGAATAAGGAAAGGGGAAAGGAAAAAGAACTAGAACGAAGATAATAAGAGTCCCCATTACCATTAAGCAAGGAAAAACACGAAGGTCAAGAATCTGAAAACCCTGAACAAAGCTTGAGAAAGAACAAAATCAAACAGCGAAAGATCAACAGAAGGCAAGCAGCAGAGGATCAAATCGAAGAGGGGAGGAGATTTAAAATTCGAAGAAAAACCCGAGCACGTGAAAGAAAGAAACAACAAAAGCAAACCCCCAAATTGGCATAAGATTCAAGAAATGGGATTAAAGGAAAGAATACCTGCAACGGTAACTTTGCGATTAATGTTGAGCCACGAACACAGGGCCCCTTTTTTGAGACGCATTGCTTCGGAATTAGATTAGGGCAATGATCCATATGTTACCTTGTCGGATTTGTAATGAAGACGCTGCTTTTGTAATGAAGACGCTGCTTCTGAATTTCCACTCGTTTCGTTCTGTAGCTTCATCCAGGCGTTTGCTCGAAGATCAAATCTTCTCGAACAGTACTGTTCCAATTAAGAAACCTTCGCAGAACTAACATTAGTCGCCTTCAAGCGCGCCTTCGATCAGCCGCTTCCACAAGATATTTTCCTACCATTTTGTTTTAGACAAATTAAACATCTTTTAAAAAAAAAAAAATGGAAATTCAAATTTCTCCTTCTATTTTAATCATTTACTTTTAAATATCTAGTTAATATAAATTTTGGCGATTTTGATTTCCACTTCATCCACAAATTGAGGAGTAAAATTTGATTTATTTTTCTTGAAATTTAATTGTAGGCGCAACAAAAGCCGGGAAGCGGCGATAGGTCATTAAAGTTCGAATCTTTGGATAAAGTAAACAAGTATTCGCGTTCGCGGCTCCCAAATCCGCCCGCTGTTTTTGTTTTCTTCATCTTATCCTTCTTATTTTCATCTTTAACGCCGTCTTCTTTCCTTCGAACCTTCCGCCCTTCCATTTATGGTTTTGTTCTATGAATCACACCCCTTTCCCTTTGTTTTCCTTCTTCTTTTCTTTGATTAATCCAGCTTCCATTCTGTTTTTTTCGGGATCTGGGTTTCTAAGTTTATTCGATTCCAATTACTCCTTCAGATCTAATCGGGGTTTTTTATTTTTTCACGCCCAAATCGCTTGATGAGGGACTGTTTTGATCTTCTTTTTTGATTTGTTTTCATGGATCTTAGGTAGCTTATCCGATTGATTGATTTGTTTTGTGGTGTGCTGTTAATTATTGGGGTTTTCTTACGATGGTCACTGTTAATCTTGGAATGCTTCATTATGTGTTGGACCATGTGTATGGTGCATTTGTGCACAGAACCAAGATCAGCCCACCGTTTTTCTCGAGGGGATGGGGTGGTTCGAAGCTGGATTTGCTTGAAAAGATGATCAAACAGTTGTTCCCAGATATGGTAGGCCAGAATTTGCCTCCCAGTTTGATTAGACCCATTTGGAGAACGGTTTGGGAGAATGAGAGTGCTCGTTTGAGAGAAGGGGTTTTCAAGACCCCTTGTGATGAACAGCTTCTTGCTGCATTGCCTCCCGAGAGTCATAATGCAAGGGTTGCTTTTCTCATGCCTAAATCTGTGCCAACCCACAAGATGTCTTGTGTTGTTCATTTGGCAGGTATCATGTTTTGTAATGCTTTACATAATATCAATCTTGTTTTTAGTGAATACTTATCTTGTTTACTGCTTATGTTTGTGTAACAACCGTAGCTCACCACCGTTAGCCGATATTTTCCACTTTGGGTTTTCCTTTTTGGTTTCCATGTCCTTCTAAAGAATGTTTTTTCTTCATCTTTATAAAGAATGTTTTGTTCCTCTCTCCAACCGACGTAGGATCTCATAGTTTGCTGCTCACAGAACATGATCTCATATTTAGTAGATAATTCTAGGTGAGAAAGTTTTAGACACATTATCAAAGAGACCAACTTGAGCATAACTAACTGGTTATATGTCCTAGAAAATGCCGAAGGTTCAAATCTCCACCTCTCAAACGCAAAATTAGAATTATAGTTTCTTTGGAATCTCTCTTTTTCTTTTTTCTTCTGGTCATGTATATATGTTTGTTGTTCATTGAATATCAATCTCATTGACTGAATGAAGTGCTTCTCTATTGTAAAGGTCAGATGATAACCCTACACAAACAACGATTTTGCAGGGACTGGTGACCATACATTTGAAAGACGACTACGTCTTGGGGGGCCATTATTGAAGGAAAATATTGCAACCATGGTGCTTGAGAGGTATGCTTTATCCTGATCTGTTAAATGAAACTAAAGTCACTAACAATGTTATGCAAAACTTTAAGCTATTAATTTCGTGTCAAATATTCGACTACAGTCCTTTCTATGGTCAGCGACGACCCATGCTGCAATCAGGTGCCAAACTCTTGTGTGTTAGTGACTTGCTTTTGTTGGGAAGAGCAACCATTGAAGAGGCTCGCAGTCTTTTACATTGGTTAGACTCTGAGGCAGGGTTTGGAAAGATGGGTATTTGTGGGCTTAGCATGGGTATGCCTCATCTAGATAACTTGTCATTATGGTTATGAAGCTACTCACTAAATTTCATGGACTAAATCATTACATATTAAAGTTTTGGCATTAAATCCTTACTCTGAGAGCCTAGTTTAAATTTTAAATCTGACATATGTTTGCATTTAAGCAGTCATTTCAGAAACAAATTCCTAAGTTGGACCCATTTATGAAATTTAGGAGGAGTACATGCTGCAATGGTTGGATCTCTACACCCTACACCAATTGCGACGTTTCCTTTCCTTTCTCCACACTCTGCTGTTGTGGCATTCTGTGAGGGAATTTTAAAGCATGGAACTGCTTGGGAAGCATTAAGACAGGATCTTGCATTGCAGAAGTCTGCCATGACCCTTGAGGAGGTTAGAGAACGGATGCGGAATGTACTCTCTCTTACAGATGTCACACGCTTTCCGATCCCGAAAAATCCCAATGCTGTCATACTTGTTGCAGCTACTGTAAGTTCTTGATCCTGCTTTACTGCATTCAATACATTTCTCAAGTGTTCTGCTTTCCTTTTATCTCTAAATGTGATGATATGGTGTCTTATGCCATTCATAATATGTGATCTTGTTGCTTGTATTTGCTGTACGTTTTCTTTTGTAGGCTTGGTTCTTGACTTATTATGGAATATTTAGTTGGAAACTATTAGAGAGGCCTTGAATTTGCTTCACTTCAACACTTACCATGTGGGGTTTAGTGACTAGTTCTTGTAATATTTGTTTGTCATTGATGGTTAAGAATTGGAGCACTTTCTTGTACGCTCTTGTGGCCTGCCCTCTGTTCTATTATTCTTCTGGTTGCAAGTTTGGTTTCTTAATGAAAAGTAACAAAGCTTAATTTTGATTGAACTCTGAGAGATGTATTCTAAAGCCTGCGTTCGTGTTGCTTTACAAAACGGTTTGTTTATTGCTATTTTGTTTGCTGCGTTGAAGCTTAGTTCAAACACTTTTGAGTTTCAGGACGATGGCTACATTCCGAAACACTCTGTGCTCGAGCTCCAGAAAGCTTGGCCTGGTTCAGAAGTAAGATGGGTGACTGGTGGTCATGTGTCTTCCTTCATTCTACACAATAACGAGTTTCGTCGGGCGATTGTTGATGGGCTCGACAGACTCGAATGGAAAGAATCGCCATTGTGACACGAAGCTTTGCACCAAATATGTAAAGATGGTGGCTTATTTCTTTCTTTCTTGTTTTCTTCTTATTCTGTGGATTTGTATCATTCAACCTGTAAATCTGATATGATACTATTCTGCGATGTCTGCTTTTTCCTAATTTCACGTTCATAGTTATAAACATTAGACAACACTATTCAGAAGCAATGCCTAAAATTACAGTGTGATCGCACTCGAGTCAGACCCAACTCGTGGTTTATTTGACATGTTGAACTTTGCTCATATTGTTTGTCAATTTTCAATTTTTCTTGTAATAGAGGGAGTGTTATATAAGCACACTACTAGCAGATATTATATGATTTTTCCTTTCAGTCTTCTCAATTGAGAAATTCGAAGGAAAAAATTCAAAGACAATATTTGCTAGCGGTGTGCTTGAACCACTACTAATGGTATTAGAATCAAACATCGGACAATGTGCCAGCGAGGAGACAGAGCCTCAAAAGGGGTGGACATGAGGTGGTGTACCAGCAAAGACGCTGGGCCCCGTAAGGAGGGATTGGGAGGAGGGTTCCATATCGATTAGGAAGAAGAACGAAATAGACAATATTTGCCAGTGGAATCGTTACGTTTACCTCCCACCAAACATGAACAAATCTAACATATTCTTGGATCAATTACCAATCTCTTCAATATAATATATCTGCTCCATTCAACTCTCAAATGTCTCCAAGACAGTGTTTTATTAGTTTATTATACAGCAGCAACTGCTCCTTTGAAAATGAACAAAACAACATTTCTTTGATTATTGTGTGGAAGCTGCTTAGAGTTGTTTTTATTTTGGACTTTTCTTCCATCCTTGAGGAATCAAAGAGCTATTTGCTTCGTATATTTATAATTAGTGAGAGAAAATGGTTCATCAACAACTATTTTATTTATCTATATCTCATGTTCTATAGCTATATCTTAGAGAGAGCTTCATGAGCTAAAAGGGAAAACCATGAGAAGGAAGAAGTTAAGATTTGGTCACTTAAAAAAGGGTATACTTCCGAGTCAATCCTGCCTCGGTCGAGCTAACCACAAGGAACTAAGAGCTCGAAGTCGATGAAAATACTCCGCAATGGCTAGCAGACATCGTGCAGCTTGTCGGGTCGTCAACATTTGATGCAATCGATGAATGGTTTGATGTCTCAAATGGTCTGCCTACAATCATAACAAAAAAAAAAAGGTCAAATAACAACAAATTATATTACTAAACAAAACTCAAACCTAACATCTCATTCGTCTTTTATAAAAACTTATAATTTATTAGTTGCTCAATGATTTATCTTTGGATATTGTATGGTGGGTCAGGTTTTGAAAGGTAGGTGTCGGGAAGAAGATAAAGAACAAAACGAATGATAGAATAGAGATAGAAATATTCGTAGATTCCAGTAACCAACCAACCAACCACATGAACACTTCGGGATATAACGAGAGTTGCTTTTGGATCAGGAAAAGGGTAAGACAATATCATATCATTGTGAAGAGTCGTGATTTGTAAGACACTGAAGAGAGAGATGGGAGAGATGGGAAGGTACCTGTCGTACAAAGCCTTCAAGGGTAGAGAGCTTGTTGATGGCTAAGGTCATCTGGCCCATGTAGTTAGCCATATTGGGAGGGTTACTCAATGAATCAGCGGCGATGGTGTCTGATAAGGACTGGTTAAGGGCTTCAAGGCCTTCAGACAATGCCTCCTCGCTCTCTTGTGTGGATTGTTGCAATCCACAAATGTTCAATATTTGATGCTCTGTTAATGGCTCTATTTCACCCATTACTATCTACACAAATACACCAAACTTTTGGGGTTAATTTTTTATGGTCAAAAATAGCATTTATTCTTAGAGACAAAGAGAGAGAGCCATGCAATTCTTTTCCATTTCCATTCATTTCTATGTCACACACAACCAATTTGTAGTATAAAGGTATTGCCTTTCTACATTGCATTACCTAATCCTTACATATTATGCAAAATTTCAATACCCTTTCGTCATTTATTGTTGCTTCACACTTCCGATATTTTCTCGACAACCAAACACTCAACGTTGTCGCTTCCCGTCCCATCATTTTACCCCTTTTTTTGGGTTTTATGGTCGAGAAATTATTCGACAGGGTAGGAACATTGTCACCAAAAACAATATATCTAATACTATACTGTTGCTGGTGACAACGTTCCAACCATGTCGAATAATTTCTCGACCCGAGAAATAGATTTTGAAAAATATATTATCAATGTACCAATGTTAAATAATAATAATGTTATTATGTTATGTTTCTTTTTTGTTGTGAAGAAAGAAAATTAGGAAGGAAAAACCAAAGAGAAAATAATGAAAAGGTACCTTAAGGAGCTCAGAGGGCCTAAAATCGCCCATCCACAGGAAGCATCTCTCCGCCGGCGTCTTCCACATGCCGGAGACAAGGTGGAAGACGTCGGACTTAGCCACCATCATTTTCAAGTTCAAAACCTCGTCATAGTGGACAAGGCAGTTGTCGACAAACAATCGGAGCTCGTTTTCCGGTAAATGCTCCTGCACGGCTGCTCGGAGCTCGCACATCAGCCGGTGGTGCTCCTCCTGCCACCGCCTATACTCAATGTCGAACACTGCAGCATCTACAAAAGTATAAGGTTTATAAGTAAGATAATATCATATCATCGTGGACGTACGTAATTACTAATAATTAGGGATTGTTACCGGAGGTGAGGTTATGGAAACCAGGGGGAAGTCCTTGGTCAGCTCCTAAAATGGCTGCTCCACCACCCACAAGCATACCCTAATGAACACCAACAATAACATCATATTACAGAATAATGAATTAAACTTCAAATATATATATATATTACCTGAGTTCTTGCTCTTTGTAGCTCTTGCTCCAGCTGCGTCAGCTTAATCCTACTCAGCTCCAACTGCTGAACATAGGCCTGAAAATGCATTCAAACCCGAAAAAAAAAAAAAAAAAAAAAAGTTACTCAGGATGATGATAGGAATCACGACTCTACACAATAATATGATATTGTGTAGCATATACTCTCGTGGCTTTACTTTGGGTTTTCCCAAACGGAGAAATATATCATTTCCTAAATTAGTGAAGGTGAGACTTCCTCCCAACAATTCTCAACACACGAGAAAGAATGGAAAAAACGACCTTTTTTCTTAGCCTGCTTTTTCTTGCAGCCTCTCGGTTCTGAGCCAGCCTTCTAAGAGTCTGAAAATGACGCAAAAAGAAGCCATTTTAAAGCGTGAATGAGCTCAAAAACAGGTATAGAATGAAAAAGGTGGGATTTTTAGACCTTGGGGTCTGGAGTTTTGGGTCCTTCTTGCTCTGAGCTTGAGGTCAGCCCTTTCTTGTTAGCCTCACGCTGCGACAAAGAAAAAAGGGTTCAATTTAATGTTAATTAAGAGGTGATTTTGTTTTTATTTAATTAAAAAAAAGGTTTACTTTTGGAGGTTTGGCATGAGGTTCGGTTATTGTTGTAGTTGGGTTTGGGTTTGGGTTTGGAGTTGGGGGTGGTCCGGATGGAGTGGCTCCACCGCTGCGTTGGTTGGCCAACTCCTTGGATGGCTCTGATGCTTTGATCTTTGAATCACCATGGTTAACCAATGCTGTGTTTGCCTACAACACCAAATCCAAATTTCATATAAAAAAAAAAAGAAAATGTCTTCTTCTTCTTCTTCTTCTTTTCTTAATCCATTTAATATCATAACTAATCATCAACTTGGAGAAAAGATGCAATTTTTCTCATTTATTTACTTTTGCTGGCAATGGGTCGACGTGCATCGGCTGCGACGGGAAGATGTTCAACGTCGGTGGTCTCATCCCCGAACTCTCTGCAACAAAAAAACAAACACGTCTTTATAAAGAATGCTTAAACCGACTGACTGACTTCTAAAACGATTGAATTATGGTAAATTTAAGGAGGAGAGAAGGGTTTGAATGCGTGTAATGTTTGAGAAGAGAAAAGGGTAAGAAATGGAAGAGCCAAAAGGAATAAAACATATACTCAAACCCCAAAAGAGAGAGAGAGAGAGAGGAACAAAGAGTGTGTTGTGGTCAAAGAAGTACAACCACAGAAGATCAATTCAACAAATTGGAACAAACCCATGTTGTTGGTGTGAAGAATCTTCAGACAAACCCCAAGAACAACCAAAAAAAAAAAAAAAAAAAACAGAAAAAGAGAAAAAAAAATACGTCTTTGATCTTGTTGAGTGATGTTTGTGGAGGGTTCTTGTCCATCAAGATATAGAAAAAGGGCATGATCCAATTCTCCCAAATCATCACCTCCTCCATCTTTGCTTCTGAGAACAAGAATCAACAAAACAAATTCAGTAAAAAAAAATAAAAAAATAAAAAAAAAGTTAAAATTTTTAGGAAGAATTACATGAAATTTGGAGAGATGGAAGGGAGATTCATAGAGAAAGGTAATTGATGATGATGAAAGTCTTGATTTTGGAAGCTGAATGATGATGGATTTTTGGGGATGACAAAGTTTGGAGTTTGCAAAAGCTGATGTTGTTGTTGTTGTTGTTGATGATGATGATGGAGTAGTTGTCGTGCTTCTTCTTCTTCTTCACTGATGGAGCTGGTTTTAATATTGGAGGAAGCCATTAAAAGTTCACACCTTTGTTCTCTCTCCTCTTGTTCTTCTTCTTGTTCTTGTTGTTCTTGCTGTTCTTGTTGAAGAGTTCTTCAGTAATTCTCCATTAATGGCGTCAACAAGCTTCAGTTCTCACATATTTGGATGATTCATAAGAGAGAGAGAGAGAGAGATGATCAGTCGGTTTGAAGAGAGAGAGAGAGGAAAAAATGGATTGAATTGAATGAAAAGAAAACAACAACAAAAAAGCTTCTCTCTCTAGAAATTAAAACACTTTCCATAAACCTAAATTTTTTTCCCTCTTTTTTTCAATTAATTTATTTGCTGCTCTTGTCCATCATTCGTGACGTTTTTTCGTTACATATCAAGAGCACGATAATTTGAACTTTCGACTTTAGAAAAACGAGTTAATGTCAATTAAATTTGTGTTTTTACCGCCATATATGATATGTTTATAAGACGAATTCGATATATATGATTATACACGATGCATATACTCGAAAGAGTAACCATATAATATTTATAATACAATGACTAAATTTATGATTCGGAACGAACTTTAGGTTTAGTCCCGAGGATAAAACTCTTGCAAATAATCAACTCGAATAGTTACGATAATAAGGACTATTCACGAAATTCTTACCCTAATTTTATCAAACTATATATATATATATATATATATATATATATATATATTCGTCATATGTGAATGTCATTAAATGCCTACATTTCTCGTTTCTAAATTCAAGAACGAAACATAACATATTACGTCATATAACCATTTATGAATATGAAACGACTCAAGGTTTTGAGGAGGACATTGCCAAAACTTTTTAAACCTTATAGCTCGTTTTATTTTAGTCAAATGGCTGATATTAAGTAATTGATTAAGGTAGTAAGCATATTTAAATCAAAAAGATTAAAAAATATTGATTAAAATATTTCGAATATATATATATATATATATATATATATATATATATATATATGTTAGTTCTATCATATATTAGTTGAGTATTAATAATTATAATATGATATAATCCTACCGTTATTTAATTCAATAATTCTATTATTAGAGAAAAAATAAAACCAAAGAAAATAAGATTTTTAGGGGAGAAAATGAATGTGATTATTGTTAGAGTAGGTAAGTATTATTTTTATTTAGTAATTATATTAAATTTCAATTTTCAAATTTAATTAATACCTCCTTAAATTATCATTTTTATATTTAATAAGTTTTTTAACTTTTAATTATTTTTAAAAATATTAATTATGGGCAAATTAATAAACCTAATATACAAGGGTTTTTTTTTATTATTTTATTTTAATTTTATACATTAGTATTACTTTTCTTTTCCTTCAAATTTCAATATTAATTTTACTTTGAAAAAACGATACAAAATAGAGATATTATATTAATCATTTTTTTAAGCTCAAAATATTTAAAATATAGGTATTTTTAGAGGCTCACACTGTATTTAGATTTTTAACTTCAACTCTCTAGAATTTAATATAAACGTTACTGGCATCAATCAGAATATTTGCAACTTCGAACGTGTAGCTCTCGAGTATTTAATATTCATATCCGTTGAACCGAACATGCAGTGGTAAAGAGAAAAACAGGAAAAAAGTAGTAGTAAAACTCGGGAGGAGAGAGATGAAGGGTAAAATAGAAATTTAATATAGATTGTTTAATTTTTAAAATTGAGTATTTGTAGTATTAAAGATTAAAAACTTTTATTATAAAGAATATTTTGTATGCACCAAATTTATAATTAATTCTAATATTATTATTTTTTGAGTTCTTATCTTTTATTATATTATTCGTATTTTTTTATTTATATTAATTAATTGTCATAGGAAGCAGTTGACGGGGAAACTGCAAAATTAGCAGAATTGACCTATGACGTGGGTGTAATATCCATCGTCTATCTGAGGGAGAAAGTTAGGGTGTGGGTCCCGCATTTATTGATCGGATGGCTGAGGCTCTACGTTTGGAAAGTCGTTCCGGTGGGGCCCACCGAGACCGCCCCCACTTTTCCCGCTATTTTTCTATTCTTGGTCCTCTAACCACTCCGGAACACAGGAACCTTTCTAACTGCACATTAAAAAAAATTATATTAAAATTTGATAAATTATTTTACCTAAATTTGTGGAAGTTTCTTTTTAAATTTTTAATCCCATATCAATTTGTGTTAATATATATAATACACATAACCCGACCAATTTAAATTACTTTAATTCAAACTAAATTATAAAAATTGTGTCATGAACGTTTTATATTTGTAATTGATGATGTATCGTGATTTATAAACGTTTGATATTTAAAATTTATGAGATTTTAGTTATTAATATAACATAATATATCGGGATGAATAAAAAAAATTTAAATAATTAAAAAAAACATTATAGTGCAATAATATTAATAAGAATTTATTTTAATTTGGTTGGGTATATATTATTATTATTATTATTTGGATAAACATATAGTATTATTATGGAGTAAAAAGGCATTAAATATATGAAATATTTATTTATATTATATTTGGCCTAACTGATTTACAAGATTCCCACAATGTATATGATATCATAATATGGCAATCATCTAATAAAGTTTGTCAACTATATTTTATTCCATAAAAAATATAACATATAGTTTAATGTAACATCTATCAAAGTGAGTCAAATATTGATTTTAGACCAAATTTGATGTTTTTTTTTTTTTTTTGGTAAATATGAATATAATTCAATTAATTAAATCGACATACAAATTTAAATATGAAATGAAAATATAGACTTGATTTTTACGAGGTTGTTTGATATGCGTTCTCATTTGTTTTGTTTGTCGGGTTTTCAAGAATTTTTTATGAAATGTGGCATGTTTTTTTTTTCTCTAAAATAAATGCAAATGTTATTTAAGTTAATAAAATCTTAAATAGTTAGTTTATTATTATTATTATTATTTTTTGATAATATGGAAAAAAATAAAATAAAAACTATATGTACAAAGGATTGCGTGACTTGCACCACTAGAGGCTTAATTATTAAAACAAAATGACAATTTAGTTAATAAAATCAAATATAAATTATAGTTTAAAAAATGCAATTTTTCATAGTTGACTTTTTTATATAATGGACCGTCACTATCATATTAGAGTTTGAAAAATCTTGAAATAATTTTTTAATTAATTAAAACCAAAAGAAGAGCCAGAAACTAAAATTTCCTCTAATTTTTATTTCTCTTTATACATAGTTTTTCAATATATAATATAAAAAAAACAATTAAAATAAAATAATTATTTAATTTTAATAAATAATGTATTTCATATTATATGACTCCAGCCAATTAAAGTTTGAAAATGGTATGAAATAACACGTACGCAATTGACCCAATTATATATTCCTTTTAAAAAAAATTATTAATTAAAATTTAATTTGGTTAATATTCTGAATTTCAACTCCAAAGTTGACAATGATATGTAGAGTGACTCAAGCACGCTTGGTGGAAGACAATTATTTAATATTATTTTTTAAAAAATATTAAAATAAACATGAGTTTTCTTTGAATATTTATTTTTAACTAGTTTTCTCCAAAAATTTAAATGCAAATTAATTGATAAGCTTTGTAATGTGACAATTAAATAAAAATACTATTAACATAAAAAAAATAATTACTCATTTAGGGTTGGAAACTTTATTACGCGGGTTAATGTATGTAGTATTCTATTTGCTATTCTTGCATGTTACGAGACTTTTGGCACGAGCGAGAAGCTTCTAAGTAGGGATCGTAGAATAAATTGTGAAGATCGATATAAATCGGTAAAAAAAAATGACATTGCAGTCATTGAAACACTAGACATGTTATTCTAATATTATGTTAAATTGTCACTGGATCCAAAAGCATAAACTAATAGATCATTTTTTAACAGCTACCAAATATTCGAACGATAACTTAAATTTGAATGCCTCGTAAAGTGAATTTAGGGTTTTGGAATTTGATTTAGAGGCAAAGAATATTGAAAGCTTGATATAGCCCAAATTCATTGTATTGTATGATAGATTGATAAAAATAATATTAGTCCAAACATGCATCAATTTTCTCTTATATATTCTTTGACTTTATATTAAAATATCAAATTTAGTGAATGATTTTTAATTCAATATACTCTACTTTTAGGAACATGGATTCTCGCTTTTTATAAAATGATGAATCAAATATGAATGCATCATAGAGAGTGTTGTTGACCCTTTGCATAGTTAGGAGGAAGAGTTTATTGGGCCTAGATGACCAAGCCCATTATAAAGCAGGAAAATTTTAAGCCCACTATATTAGAGTTTATCGGGCCTAGATGATCAAGCCCATCAATTTTTCTTACTTGCTTCTCAATGTTTCCTTTGCCTTTCATGCTTCACAAAATAGAAAGGTGAAATGAGGGCTGATGAAACCAAATATTTGACCATATGATATCAATCTTCAAGGTGGATTCTAAATTGAGATATAAAATTATGATGGGATCATATTATTTGCCCTGAAAAGAAAAACAGTGTCATTTGACAATTCCTCTCAACCACCTTCACAGTTATCCCAAATTGAAAAGCTTCCAACAAATATCAATGGTGGTAAATCCAAAACTAACCGAAAACAAGAACAAATTGATGGTACCTTTATTCATACAACATTCCCTGTTAAGCTTACTCGAGAGAACTGAGAGTATAATTACATCTCTGGAAAGCCCAAAAGAGAAAGCCAGCCAAGATCTTCTTTCCCAATTGCTGCAAAGATTACTAATGCTACTCAATGTGGGATCTTTTCTTGGTGGTGTAAGGGTAGTACTCCTTTCCATTGTCAATTCTTGTGGTTTGACCACCAACATCAATTAATGCAGATGTAACTGCCAAAGCAACTCCAGCGGAAATGGCTGTTGAAATGCTTTTTCCTAAAACAAAACAATGGCATCAATTAACCACTTTCAGAGGGAGTTTAACTTATTAGAGACTTGAAAAGAAAGCATATTAGAACCACATCCTATGCAATGGATCAGAAAGATCGGAATGGCACTTCACTTTACAATCAAATGGCGATACTGATAGGTATATCTTGTTATAAGTATAACTAACAAGAAATGGCAAGAAACTACATCCAGATCGAGAAATCACCCCTCTTGGAGGGAAATTTCTAGTAATACAGTAGTTTGGATTCTACTTACATTTATTTTGCTACATCATCATTATTTTAGACTGATATGAAGTCCAACAATGTTAAAGAATTATTTATAGAGAAATTTCTAATATTGACGGAAGGGTGAGATGGGTACTACAGGACAAAAAGAAACTCTCTCCCTTGTTTGTCTGAGATTATATATTTTTTTTTTTCGAAAAAAAAAAAAATGTAGCACTTCTTAACTAATTTATCTCCTCTAATTAAGTTCGAATAGAAAGTTTTTGCCCTCCAAATTTATGGTTCTGCCCTAACTAAGGAGTGGTTGCTAACATGCAGACTAGTTATTTGTGTCTTCATGGCTCCAGTTACTCGAAGCATTGATAAAAATAAGAGAGGGAATTCTTTCGCGAGGTGCAGACTAGGATGGAGGTTCTATAGGTGAAACAAAAGAGTTGAGCTTCTCGCTCTTTCGAGGATGGAGATCGTGGCTTCACCAATGTAGATAAGTGGAAGTGCACTTCTTTAACCAAATGCATACGAAGGTTCCTTCTAGAAAGCAATGCACCATGGCACAAAAATGTCACTAGCAAGTATGGTTAGGATAAGTCAGGTGGATGACCACATGTAGAAATGTCATGCAGCACTTGATTCCATATTTCCTAGCTGAGATATATTGCGGATCCTGCAGCCTTTGGTTCCATATTCTAGGTGGGAAGAGGTAATAGAGTTAAGTTTTTGGATGACATCTGGATAATTTACTCTCCTGTCCTTTTTTCCTAGACTCAATGCTCCAAAGCAGTAAGGTGATGGTAAACATGGTTAGACAATTCTGGAATGCTTCTAATAGGTGTTCAATGTTAGATCTTTGTTAAGTATTCTGAATTGGATGATTGGCTAAAGGTATCCGAGTTGAATGCCTTTTCCTTTTCTTTAGATCTTCCTTTCTTCTATATCGCTAGAGAACACTTTCTGTCAAATCTGATTTGATTCTTACAAACTACCATCAAATTACCATCCCCGAAAGCAGTTCCTGAACTTTCTCCCAAAACCTACCATTCCTTTAAAAGCATAGAAAAACTTGACATGAAATAGGTACGTACGTTTGCAAGAGCTGCCTCAAAAAGAGTCAATCTCCCACCATTAGAAAGGTAAAATTCCCATTTTCAAACTTATACAGGACCTCTTTCACAGGCTTCCAAGACTCCAACTTTAATGGATTTATCACCCAAGGGAAATCATCCTCGAGTAAGAGACTGGATAGTTACAAGCTTGCACCACATTTTATTTGCAAGAGTTCACTTCAGCAAAAGGAATATTAAAAACCACAAATCTAATGTTTTTCACTTTTATAAGCCCGAAGAAATCTTAAAAATTCTAAGTAGCTTGAAAAAATCCTCTTAACCCTTTCCAATCACTTTTGATAGAAGTGAAGTAATGTCCATAAATTGAGTAAGTGAAATATGCCCCTTGTTCTCCGCAAGGAAAAATATTCAAGAAGGCCCCATGAAGATCAAGTTCAATCAACCAACTCAACACATTTCCAACCAAAACAGAAAGGAAAGGTTAAAATACCGACTATGTCCTATAATTTGGGCATCATTCCATTTTGGTCCCTATACTTATAAAAATCCATACTTAATACTTAAACTTTCAATAAAGCATAAAATTGATCCCTATTGTTAGATTATTGTTAACTTATGTAAAACAAAATAGCCTCTATTAGTTTTTCCTCTATAAAATTTGAAAATATGTTCACATTGGGTCAATTTATGAAAGAATAGAAATTGTGGATGGTATGGATTTATCCCAGTCTATAATATGTTCACATAAATATGCCAAATAAAATTCTATCCCATTCTCCAAGAGAGGAAAGCGGAAAGAAAGAGAAACAAACCATACAAAAAACTTTCTTCACATTTGTTAATGAAAGAATAGAAATTGCGACTGCATCAAGATCTAGAAAGAGTAGAAAGTTTCACCTTTGTATCCGAGAACAGATGCTCCAGCTGCAAAACCACCTACAGCTCCATTAACGAAGTCTCTCTTCATTCTATAATTCTGCACAAGCTGCTCAACGCCAATGTATACCCCTCCAATAGCAGCAAACGTCATCCCATAGTTTCCCATCATTTTCAAGGTTCTCACAAGCCCAGGCAAAGCAACATTTCTCTCAACACGGGGTACATCATACCAAGTGGCAGCAATTGTCCCGAAAATGGTGCCAGAAACAAATCCTGTAGTTGCACCTTTAATCGTTTTCATTATTGACGTATCATCATCCTCCAAGTACCTACGCTCTGAAGCATCCATGGGTGTTTTTGAAGTTACTGACAATGGCCAAAGCTGCAGAAAGAAAAGAAACAAGACTCAAACCTCAATAACCACGACCAAAGAAGATCTAAATTTTTCTGACCATCTCATAATGAAATCATTGTATTAAATGGAAATTAATTAGAATATATAGCCCCCCTCCAATGTATTCATCCCATTCCTTTACGTTATCTCAGCAGAATTTCTAATATCCAGAGAATTACGAACAGCTAGATCAAAACGTACTAATAACCCGCTAGATAATGAACAATTCGTAAATTTAACCGTTCAGATCAAGCCGGAAACCCCGAACGACTCCCCCTAACTCGTGCACCTGCAGAATACAATCTAATTTCTCTATATCCTCAACAATAGAAGCATGAAAATGAATTTCCGCGACAAAATGACATGCAGACCGAACCGCAGAGGCTAAACCTAGACGAATTGCATTTACAACTACATCGAGTGCGATCATCGTAGCTCCAATAGCATTGTAGATCAGAAAATTCATAAACAGTAGAGAAACACGATTTGGATTGGAGGAAGAAGCACGTACCACTTTCGATGCAGCTCTCTGGAAATAAGGAAATGAGAATGAGACTGAAGCTCTTATATCAGCACGAGAAAGCCTCTTGAACCCGCGTTACTCAACCTGTCGCCGTTGCAACCCGATTCCCAGATGGTTGCGTAATTACAGTACTACCCTCGTCGGTGTATTAATTGCCAAGATTAAATTATATTTCGTATCCATAAGATTAAAAAAAAAAAAAAAAAAGTGTCTAATTTACCAAATTTGTTTGTGTTTATAATTTTTACATTTTTTTTTATAGTCAATAGTCCATCAGAACAAACCTAAAAAATTTATTTCTTATAATTCAAGTGGAGTGATATACATTTATCTGCAATAATATAATATTATTCACTTTAGGTCTAAATTGCAATAATATAATATTATCCACTTTATGCATAAATTTTAGTGGTTTTTCCAAAAAAACCAAATAGGTAGATAATTATAAACTCATGATATTTCTCTTAACTAACCAATATGAGATTACTATTCTTTCATTTTCTATTAGTGATGGCTTGCCCTTATTAGTTAGATAAAAAAGTCACCATGTGTGAATAGGGCTCATATGTGAAGGCAACGTGAATGGAATGGAAGGCAACAACTGCCAATGCTCGAATTTTGGCTGTGTTTTCCAGGTGATTAGGTGAGATTGGTTAAGGAGAGTGAAACTCTGAAACTCATCTTCACTAGAGGAGTCGTTCCTTAGATTCACAAGCTACGAATGGTCATTTAGAGTAAAACTTGAGGGGTGGGATAATATTTGTTGAGCGATAGTACTCATATTTGCACTTAATATAGAACTTTCACTTAATATAGAACTTATTAAATCTAAGGTTGGAACTAACCAACAAATTAAATCCCAAATCAAGCAGCATCTCATCATTTTAGTATAGCAAATGAATGTAAGATACGTTGGAGAATACTAAGAAGTATAAAAGAATTGGGCTGAATTCATGTCATATGATCGATATTTATGATTATGATAAATTGTATATAAAATTGAATGAGATCAAAAGAGTACTTAGGTTCTCTTACTATGCTCCTATTGATGATATGAGTATGTTCATATAACAATATGAGGGAGGATTAAGGTTGATCATTTGCAAAACTTTACTTTTCGGGCCTCGGAATTTTACTAGAACAAAAGTTGATACTTTCCCAGAAAAAAAAAAATCTATTTCCCAATCTCCTCTTCCTCATCCCTTTGAGGGAGGTACGCCGAATTCCCTTCAGCACAACAAAACTCAAACGAAACATCAAGAAAATAGAGCATAAAAACAAGAAGAACCGAAGACAAAAACATAGGAATAGCTCCAAAGATCCACAACAACAAAGGAAATGAAAAGTAAAACGCACGCAATCCCAACGACCAAAAATAACTCCCTCTATTCACCGTAGTGGCCACATAATCCGCCGTGAGCCCGCGCTGATGCCGATCATCGATCAAACCCTTTCTGCATGGCGTATTGATAAGAATGCTTGCATGGCTATAGTACCTTATAGACTGAACGTTAAACAAAAACGCCACCAAAAAGCAAACCAATATGGCAAAGAACTTGACAGAGAATGAGAAACTAAATTGACTTCTGTCTCCAAGCACCGCCAATGGGGACTGACTCTGGCCGCTGCCACCGCCACCGCCACTCGTCATCAGGACGGCAATGAGAGAGCAGAGCATTATGGCAGTCGAGGCCAAAAGGGTCGACGCCATTATATTGTTTCTTAGTGTTTGGACGGCAAGGACGCCGTTGTTTGGTGCATTGTCCATCATAGCTTGAACCCATAAGCGACGATTCATGGCGTTGATGCCAATCACGGTCTTATTGGGATATGTGAGGATGCGATGTAAAAGCCAAATGTGGTAGGTGAGCATGAGAAGAAGGCCGGAGGAGACCAATGTGTAGTCCAGAAGCTTTTTGTCCATTTCCTTCTCACAAGAAGGAAATGAAATGAAGTGGTCAAGTAAAAATGGTGTTTTGCAGCAACAGAAACAACAAGCGACGTGTCTGGGTCTACTTTTTGGCGTTGTGTGGGGAAAAGCATTGCAGGAATAGGAACCGGTGGAAATTAGAAGTGCTTTCTCATGAAGCAGAACGGAGATAACAAACTATCACAAAAATGGAAGAGAATAAACAGGGCAGCTCAGTCAAGATTCTCAACACAAGGTGGACCATCATTTTAGGCTCATCTGTTGGCAAATTTATTTTTTTTCGCTTGGCCAGACCTGATTTCAAGAGAATAAATATATGATAAAATCGTTGCGTAAAATCAAAAAATAACATTATCTTATTTTCTTGAAAAAAGAAACAAAAACATGCATCTTATGACACCAGAACTTTCTCAAAGAAACACAAAAATTGATTTTCTCTTTCCAAAACTTTCTCAAAGAAACACATGACAGTTAAGATGAAGTTAAAGCTGTATGTACATGAGAAGGAAGGTTTTACTACTAAACAGTCTGTACACATAAGAAGAGGATGCAGCCGAAGAAAAATAAGACTGACCTAAACTGAGGTGGCAGAATAGCTGTAAGCTGGTGAGCTTACGAAACCAGTGTTAGCTGAACGAAAAGACTTCTCAAAAGGATCAATTTCCGTTCCTTCTGATGCAGCATGTTTCGTCATCTCCATCTTTCTCCGAAGATTTGTTAGGTGTTCCACTATTTCAGACATTGGTGGTCGGAATTCCTTCACAGGCTGATCATCCAAAGTTGAAATGCACGGGAGGATATGTTAAAAAGGGATATATACAGGCCTGATTGAATGTGCCACCTTTTACCTTATCGTGATGTGATATTAAAATAGTATATTGTGACTAACTTTAGAGTTTGTCAACTTACCACGTAAATGTTAAACTACAGGCTTAAAAGTACGTACTTGTTAGAAATAAACTGAGGCATATTAGATTTCATTAGATGGTCTGGGCTAATTACCTGTATACAAAGGGAGATAATATCAACAAAGCGAGAGAGGGACTTGGAGGAAAATGTTCCTTTAATGACTGGATCAACCATCTGCTCTATACTCTCGTTGTCATGAAGCCGAGATGAAGCCCATTTCACCAGCGATTGTTCTTTCCTGGGTTTCGAACTTAGTAAAAAGAACAAAATTATTCATACTCTTAACTACAACAAGAGTTTGAAGAATAAGACAAAAAACCAAAAGAAGGTTGGATGAATTGTACTTGTCAAATGGTTTTCTTCCAGTGACAATCTCCAAAAGCAACACTCCAAAAGAATACACGTCACTTCTGGTGTTATCAAATCCTGGCTGGCCATGTTCAGGTGCAAGGTAGCCTCTGTCACCACTGGCAATCTCAGAAGCCTGTTTTCATCAGTATTTACACATAAAACTCATGAAAAAAAAAATATCACGAGTAAACAACGGAAAGTTTAAAATCGTGGAAGTGGAAATTTACGGCATCCGTCTGGTTTATGAACAAGGTCTCTCTTCCAAAATAGACATCTAGTTTTTTATTTACCATAAAAAAAAGAAAAAGAAAATTAGAAGCATATTCTCAGCTGTATTTTACCTTCGTTTTAACTCTGTTGGTCACAAGTCGCCTCGCAACAGATAGCCCACAGCCATAAATACGAGGAATCAGTTCATCGTCAAGTAAGATGTTGGCAGCCTTCAGATTGCAGTGAGCAACTGGCGGGAAAAAACTTCTATGCAAATAACTGAAAACACGAAAGGAAAACTGTTAAAAATCCTCAAGAATACAACTATTATTGAAAAACTTGTCTCGAGGTTTTAGATAGTGGTTTTTAAAGGTATGAACCAGAAGTTTTTATACATCAGAAAGGGACAATTTGGCATTTAGAGTAATTTGCAAATGCGTAATTAGTACATATCCAAGTCGAGTATAGATAGTAACGATATAGACATAGAATGTCTGTTAAGTTAGTCATAGATTGAAGATTTGGAAGCCGAAGAAAGTAGAAAAATATAATGCATGTAGTGTGTAATTAAAGATGAACTGAAGATCTTTGATCTATGAGGTCAGGCAATATGAACCTGATAATCAAATAATGTACTTACTCTAAAGCCCTAGCAACTCCAAGAGCAATCTGGAGACGGACAGTCCATGACAGAGGCATGAAAGATTCACAGTGTAAAGCTTCATCAAGAGACAGATTTCGAACATATTCATATCCGAGGAAATAATGTCCATGCTCTGCACAATATCCAAGCAGTGTAACAATGTTCGGGTGCCTCAAACGGGAAGCAGTCCATACGACATCCAGAAATTTCTCTTCTTCTGTAAGAGAGAGTGCTCCCATGTTGATGTTTTTCACCGCCAAAACCTGGTTAGAAATTAAAAGTCAGAAAGAAGTTAATGGAGATCAGGTGAAACTTTGCTCATAGAGTGTGATCATTTTTACTTGGCCATCAGGAAATTCAGCTCTATAAACAGCACCAAGAGATCCCTCTCCAAGAAGATTCTCTTGACTAAAGTTGTTTGTGGTTGATTGAAGCTCTGCCAGAGTGAACATTTTTGTTCCCACTGGGAGATTGCATCTCTTTGAGAAACCTTGTCTTCCAGAAACTTTCTCGGTTCTCGTGCGATTTAATGAAGCTATAGGCCTTTGACCACCCATGAGTAGAGAACTCAGGGGCAAGCTCTGTGAGTTTTCTTCTGGTGCGGTGGACAAACCATCAATCAAAGAAAAGAAAAGCCTAATATCTGAAAACAAAATGCTAATCCGAATGCATACTTGACATTTACAGTACAGGGAGTCATAAGCTGAAACTACGAAACTCAAAGTTAATAACTATCTTGGCACAAACATTTGAAGCCAAACTCATTAAAGCCTATGGGAAATTAGTCTCCAAGTTATGATGAGAGCCTTTTCATTTTCATGATACTAAAAAAGATGGATTCCCAGAAAATTCACATTCCGTTTCAAATCTTAGACGACTTCCAAAAAATAATGTCTTTTTCATAATTGAATGATTACGTCCTTCAATTATCAACAATGTCATTTGGATTGTGACACGTTGAGGTATGGATAAAAGCACGTAGACTTATGGCACAAAGTTGAGACCTCGGAAGACAGAAACTAATATAGTTGCCGTGATAATGGGAAAGAACAATAGACCTGCTAGTTATAATGATCGGCTAATGAGCTTTGATCTGGTTATAGTTAAACAGCGCCAAGACCACAAAATTATGACATCCCGCAATGCAAAGCAAAAGGCTGGAAGAACTTTACAAGGAAAAAGATTCACCTTCAGCTTTGCCCAGAGGGAGTGATCGGGGTATCATATTGCTAATGGCGAATACAATGAAGAGAGCTGCAAAGGTTACAACTAGTGTTAACCCGCCAACCAGGAGAAGTATTCCACCAGGACCAAGCCTTTTCTTCTCTTGCCTGACACCACGAGAGGGATAATTCTGGATTGAATTCGACTTGGTTGTTGGAGGACCACTGATGTTTCGCACCATAGGTGCTTTTTCCAGGGGGAAATCCCAGGGTGGAGAATTGACTCTTGCATGAAACCTATTTCCCCCAATCCTAAACAGAGGCGAAGTGAAAGTATGTTGGGAACTTTTCTTTAATGTAAACTTCATGTTCAGTTTAGGCAAAAGCTTACCACAAATTTGGAATAGTTCTAAAATTTTCTGGAATAATGCCACTAAAACAATTGTCCTGGATGTTCCTGAAAGAAGAGTTACGTGAGTGAGTACAGAAGTTGCCAGATGAAATAAGTCAGAGATTCTACAGAGGATAGAGTAGTAGAGGAGAAAAAGAGGGAGCCGCGAATAGCTTACAAGTCAGTTAATGGAAGTGGAGACAAGTAGGCAACTGATCCTGTAAATTTGTTGTTCTGCAATAACCTAGTCTAGATAGCATTAATGGGATAAATAGTTGTTTATTGTACCGAGAAAGAAAATGCATAATCAAAGACAAGAAACTCACAGTCTAGTGATGTTTGTCAAGGAACCTAATGATCTTGGCAAATCTCCAGTGAAGTCATTATATGACAAATCCCTGTGAAAGAAGAATAACAATTGGTTGAATAGCTTGACCAAAAGGGCTTGCATGTAAACATTCAAATACCCCAAAGAATTGTGAGTTAATATCTTCATACAAGACTGAACTTGTAGAATAATTATAAAATTTTGCTGTGGTAAATTAGAAAGGCATGTATTAAGGTGCAAATGAGTAGGTGACATGATAGATTATCCGTTCATTTTAGTACAATTAAGAGGCAAAAAATAGCATTAATAGCGAAGAAGGAAGCGTACATCTCTCTCAAATTCTGTAAACCAGTGAACACATTCCCAATCACACCAGATAGAGTATTATGGCTCAGATTTCTGCATGCAAAAGAATATAGTTAAAGGACGAAGGACCGTTCAACAGTAACACTACGAAAGTCAAAGATCTACTTACAAATGTCGAAGATTTCCCATGTAAGATAAAGTATGTGGAATGTTATGGCTTAAATGGTTGAATGCCATATTTCTACAAGAGAGAAGAATTTTACTGAATCTATTAACCGGAGTAACTGTCTACACGCCATTTTCAAATAGAAGGGGAGCTCTTTTAAGTACACAATAATCTATGAATGAAAAAGTAGAGTATACAACTTACATATGAGTCGCATTATGAGGCAAGTTATGGGGAATTTCACCCGTAAGTCTATTCGAGCTTACATCCCTAAATAAAGAATTGAATAGATGTTAACACACAATAACTAGCAACAATAAAATTGTTCTATTGACTAAAAAATTAACATACAGTTGCTTCAAATTGTTGAGGTTGTTGAGCTGCCCTCCAAGATTCCCAGTGAGGTTTAAATCGCGGAGTTTACTACAGAAGAAGGCAGTAGTCAGAGGAGCACTTCGGTCAAAGAAGGAAACATAATATCAAGAATATGCTTATGGCGTCTAGTTCAAGGCAACATTATGTCCTTACAGGTATATTACAGATGACCCGGAGCAAGATACTCCAGTCCATGATTCCACACAAGGATCACCACCATATTTTCTCCATCCTATAAGCTCATGTGGATAGTTCAAAGCACCGTACAGATCCTGAAGAGCTGCAACTGTGTATTACACATTATCCATCCATCATTAACGAGAAATAAAATAACTCGAAAGCCTTGAAATGATTCGCTCAAAAGTAATGCAAGGTGATGCATGTTAACATATGATCAGGAAGCCATAAGAAGATATCAAAAGAAACTCAACCAAAAAAACCATGACCTATTCCAATCTTTTTCCTAATTCAAAAGCTTCAAGAAACTAAAAAGTATTGGTTGCATTCAAACAAAAAGATATTAGGACTTACCCTCCGGCCGGTTAGTGAACGCCCGAGCCAGCGAAGTGAGAATAGTCGAATAGACGACGACACTAAAATACGTAAACGGACGCTGTTGCAGCATTTCTAAATAACGTCCAGTTTTGAAGGTTCTCTGTTTCCATGGAACAAAGAATCGAACACAAGCAAAATGTCAAGAACGTGGTAGTGTACAAGAAGACTACCACACCAAAATCTGAAGTGAAAAAAAACAAAAAAAAACTAAGAAATGACAGAATATACGAAGATTGAGTTGTTTTCTTGCTAATCTTTCTCGGAAGCTAGAAGTCCAAAAAGAAAATGCCGGCACTGAAAAGTTGTTCAGAGAAAGTTACGGCTTAGAAATGGTACCTTCGAGAGATAGAAAGCAAGCGTTCTCGACTGGTTCTCACAGAGAGAAAGTGAAGTCGTACGGACAATAATGGAGTATGAATAACCCGCCAGCGTACTGCATTGCCGTGATGAAGACAACGGAGTTTTTGCAATTGCAGGAATTTGATGAGCTGGCGTCCACGTGGCTAAAACGGTTTAGCCGTTGGATAATGCAATAGTAATTTTGAAGTATGTTTAATTTTCATTAAAGTCGCTCATTAATTTTAACAAAAGATAAAAAAAGCTTAATTGTATATTTAATAAGGTCGATAATAAAATAAATTTCTAAAATTTATTAATTTTGTATTTGTTAAATGTATTTTCCAAAAAGAATATCCACTCTCAATATTTTTTTCTAAATAAACTAAAAATCATGAAAATTAAGTAAATATAATTTTTTAAAAATCTCAAAAAATGCAAACAAAATTAAAATAAAGAACAAAAAAATAATAATAAAGATTAAAAATTTAAATAAAAACGTTCCTTTTATTGCTTGTGACAAGACTTCCTGCATTCAAAAGGCAAGCAGTTGGCATGCCAAAATCAGAGTAAACACAAGCACCATACAGTTCTCCATGGTAAAGTTTAAAAATTTCATGGCAAACTCAAAGGAACCTTAGTCTTTGGATAAACCCAACTGGGGTAGGAATGTCTGAACTGAACCCAATTATTCAAACCCTACTACTTAAAGGATGATCAAAGCGACCAATGCAGCTGATGCTGCGTGGCGGAGTCGAACGCACCCGAATGCCCGAGTTCCATGTATGGCCTCCTACCTTGATGAGAAACAAACTGGACATCACTGGTAAGACCATGATGATTCAATCCCAGATCAGATGGCAGGTCCAGGGAGCTGCTGCTACTGGCAGCAGCCTCATTCCCCTTGAAGCCCCACGACACGGTCGAGAAGTGGTCGGCAGCAGCAGCATGAGCTGTTGCTGTTTGAGCCACGAGTGCGCCTTCAGCATTCAATAACGCATTTACATCTAGAGCCGATGTTTGGTTTGACAGAAGAGAGAGAGCACAGGAGGAGTCGGTAACTTCATTTCCAGGACCTGCAGAAACTGGCAGGAAGAGTTCAGGTGGGCTGTTCTCGGAGTTGCTCTGCCAAGGATAGGGAATGTAGCTCCCCATGGCAGTGATGTTTTGGCTTCCCGGCACCCGTTCAGATGTTTTTCCTGTTAGCTTTGGGTATGCACTGAAGTCCATTAGAAAGCTTCCAACTCTGCTGCTGTTTTCTGTCATTGCAAGAAAGTAAACAAATGGTTAACATTTGCACAAAGCTAAGTTAATAAGAAAGTTTAGAAAGGTGAAGGCAAATATCTAACCAAGGATTGATGAAGAGAAGCGACCATAACGAGTGGACAATAGTGAACCAGGTGGAGGCTTCCTACGGCGCTCGTTATGACCAGCCAAACGCCTGCGACAGCTACGTTTTCCTTGATCAAACTCGGGAAGCTGATGAAATCTGGAAAATTAACGAATGAGCACTTTCGAACCTCTTAAAGTGAAAAGAAAGGTGTCATTATGTAACAACTCAAGCCCACTGCTAGCAAATATTGTCCTCTTTAGACTTTCTCTTTTGAACTTCCCATCGAAGTTTTAAACTGTGTCCGTTAAATAGAGGTTTCCACACCCTCGTAAGGAATGTTTTGTTCCCCTCTCCAACCGATGTGAGATCTCACAAACCACCCCCTTGGGGGCCAACATCCTCACTTGCACACCGCCCAGTATATGGCTCTATTATCATTTGTAACAGTCCAAGCCAACCGCTAGCATATATTATCCTCTTTGGGTTTTCCCTTCTAGGCTTCCACTCAAGGTTTTAAAACATGTCCACTAGAAAGAGATTTCCACACCCTTATAAGGAATGCTTCGTTTCCCTCTCCAACCGCCCAAATCCACTGCTAGCTGATATTATCCTCTTTGAGTTTTCCCTTTCCGTCTTCCCCTCAAAATTAAATGTGTCGATTAGGGATAGATTTCCACACTCTTATAAGGAATGCTCTGTTCCCCTCTCCAACCAATGTAGGATCTCATGATCCACCCCCTTAGGCGCCCAGCATCCTCGCTGGCATAGAGTCCATCAGTCTACCTAGTTCAATGGACATAGAATCCGTCGGTCTATCTGGTTCGATGCTTTGTGCCTAGGCACCAACTTTTGTCAATTGTTACCTAAGCCAATGGTATCATTTTAAAACATTACGTTACTTGCTACATTTACCCTATTAAATACACCATTAAAGATATTGATTTCATCTTTCAAGAACAGATCTTGAAGACAATAACTTCAGAATATCTAAGCTTATCTAAGGAGTCCAATCAAAATCCAACATCCAACACGTTTTTCAACATGAAATAGACGCCTATGTCTATCACAAATGTTCACTTTGACGGCTATCTCTATCTCAGAATAAAGGTGCAGAGGGACAGCACTCCCATCAGCTAAAGAATATTATCAAACAGCTTCTTTTACTTTGACGTATATAGCTGGGCTCCAACTTCAACAGCTTTTTTTTGTTACTTTACTCTGTTTTCATTTTGACCAATAGGAGGCAATTTAGATAGCCTCCTTGGACTTCAAGGGATTGAGTAGAATATCAACCAGTTGCACAGGAAAGAATAAACAGTATGAGGAGATGTAGGCCACTGTATTGACTGGTACCCCACTCCACAATTGATATCAAGCTAAAAGGAGGAGAATTGACGAGAAGAACGGTAATAGCTCAAGTCCACCACTAGCATATATTGTCCCTAAGCTTCTCCTCAAGGTTTTAAAACACGTCTATTAGGGAGAGGTTTCCACACCCTTATAAGGAATGCATCGTTTCCCTCTCCAACCAATGTGAGATCCCACAATCCACCCCTAAGAGGCCTGCATTTTCGCTGGCAGACTGTCCGGTGTCTAACTCTAATACCATATGTAACAGCTCAAGCCCATCACTAACAGATATTGTTTTGTTTGGGCTTTCTCTCACGGTTTTAAATTGCGTCTACTAGAGAGAGGTTTCCACGTCCTTATAAGAATGTTTCGTTACCCTCTCTAACCAACGTGGGATCTCACAATAACAGAGTTATTTGGTTCCATAACCTTCTCTGTAGGGTCTGATTGATTCAAAAACTAGAATCTGGATGTTATATAAACGAATCAATCTGGATGAATCCAAGTTAAGAAACAAGAAAGCGACTCAAAACATGAGAGAAATCTAATAAAATCAAATCCACCAACTAATAAGAGAGATAGCTCCAGCATATGAACTCATCATGAGAATGATAGCAAAACCAAGAGCAAGAGAAAGCAGCTGACCTGCTACACTGCTGGCAAAACCTTTGCTCAATACCAGCAACAATGACCTTGGGGGATTTGGAGTGCATAGTACAAACCTTGTGTCTGGAATAGTAAGCCTTAGCATCACTTAGATCTACTTTACACCCTTCAACCTGACACCTAGGGGGCTGAGCCGCTTGAACAACCCCTCCCCCTCTAGGTTTCTTGGTGGGTGTTGATGCAATAACAGCAGAAGATGAGAAAGACCCACCGCCTGATTTGGGAAGCTCTCCAATACCCACATCTTCAAAGTAAATTTTGTGGCCAAACTTAAGGCCATTGAGTGATTCAGCCGATGAAATGGGAGGGGAGGAAGTGGTAGACCCACCAGACTCAGTCAAAGAACTGCAGTCCATTTCCATCAGGACAATAAAGAAAAACCCTCTAAATCTCATCCCCCATTGAGGTTCTCAGAAGAGGGGTCTCGCCATTATGAGAGCTCTCCTTGCGTGTTTTGACTGTGTGAGAAAAAAGAAGGAGAAAGGGAAAGAAAGGGACAGGAAGACAACCAAACACAGTGCTAGAGAGCAATGGAAAGAAAGAAAGAAAGAAAGAACGAAAAAGAAAATGGTGGGACAGCAAAAAGCAGTAGAGACTGACATTCAATGGGCCATTGCCAGCAGAGGTTTTTTTCTTTGTTGCTTTTTTTGTCTCTCTTGGGTATCCTATGCTACAAGAACAGTGGAAGGAGGCGCAAGAAGAAAGCTCAAAATGAATGAGATTTTACAGTGATGATGGGCTTTTGGTGCTCTGTAGCCGACGGCCTTGACTTTCTTTGCCAAAGCCTTCCACTTTTTGTATCCTTTCATTTTGGAATAAACTTCTCTTCCAATCTCCTCTTTGTTGGGGAATGGGATATGTCTCAAACTCTCAAACACAATTTCATCTTTTCAAATTGCTTTTAGATTCTTGTTCTTTACAAGTTTCTCTCCCAAAAACAATTCAAGTTACCACTTTTATTTCATTTTCGAAGTTTCTAGAGAGTGTTTGAAAATTTATTATCGTTTTTATATCTAAAGTTCGTTCATTTAAGAGTTGGAAGACGCTCGAGTTATAGTCAAAATCATCGTATTAACATAGTATTAGATGGTGTTCTAAATAAATTATTGTTTAAACATATCTTAATCTAATCAAATATTCCCTCACTATTTTCAAATAAGCCAAAATCTTGTTAAGTGTGTGATAAAATAATGAAATTGTATCACTTGAGTTGGCCAAAGCAAGATCACAATTATCAATACTACATATTTTCACAACATGTCATTATTTATTGGTTTCTCGAGAAGAAATGAAAATTATGCTCAATATCCAATGTCTCCATGATGCATGTGAAAGAGAATAAAACATGTTAGACTTACTCGTGTTGATTTGTGAGGATAATCTTCACTTTTAAAAAGCAAGAAGTAGATTATATCGCAGGAGAATACCTACTAGTGCTAGATTGACTTGTATCAGACTATCCACTCATGCTAGTCAATCTATGGATTCATGTTAGAATAATGACTCGTATCATACTAACATGGGTCAATCTAGTATGAGTACTGTCACCATGTTGCATGAAAATTCAAAACTATCAAATACTAAATTTAGATTTCAAATCCTAACACATGAATCATCCGTCTGAAAATTACATATGTTTTCATCCTAAAAACCTTATTTCAAGCACAAACATCAACCCATTTGAAACTTACTTAACCAAAAAAAAAAAAAAAATTAATTAACTTGGTAAACATGCTGTATGTTGCAAATTTTCACGGGAAATTGTTTGGTATAATCTATGTCAATGGTGTTTAATATTTTTCTCGAACAATAAAATTCATATTTTCAAAATTTTCTACTGTGTTTCTCGAATTTATGAGTGTATAAATCCAAGTCTACCGATAGAAGAGATTTCCACATTTTAAGGACGTTCGTTCTTCTCCACGAGATATGATTTTTTATTTATTTTTATTTTTTTTGTTAATTTAAAAAAACAATGAAATTATTAATTCTATAATTTTGAGTTTAGAATTTACCGATAAAAATAAATAAAAATTGGAAGTTAACCTTAACGGTAAATTCATTTACCCATATGAACATTTTGTTTTAACCTAATAAAATTACATTGTGTATTCCATATGGGAGAAGTTTAGGGCTGTAGCGTTTATACCCACGACTCACACGCATCGCTAGGCTTCTTCCTCTAACACTTCCGCGCACTTTCCTCTCCCGATTCTCTGCTCAGTTCAGCTCGCGCCTCTTCTTCCCTCTCGACTTGCGAAGGCCATTTGTCGAATCCCCATCGTTTGCTGGCGATAAAGCAAGAGTGATCGAAGTGTGCAACCATTCCACAACCAGCACGAGTTCTTCCATTACGATCAGATTCATTTCCCGTTTGGTATGGCTTTCGTATTCGTTTATTGTTCCATCTGCTGACAAACTAGCTCGACGTTCTTCCTTGACCCATTTCAAAGATCAATTGCATTCAGAAAATTAGCATAATCAATTGAGTTTCTGGATTTGGACTCTTTTCTGTCAGCTACTCTGAGACATTGGTTGAAGTGCAGAAATACAAGGATAATTTGGATTATTTAGTACCTTAAATTTAGGAATTAATCCGGCAGATTGTTGATTGCAATGTGGATTGAGCTGCTGTCGTTTTGATTGTGTTGGGTTTTTTTTTTTTGTACCCCTGTTGAGGAAAATGTTGATTCGTAGTTTCTCCTTTATGTTATACGAGTCATAAAGTTTGAGAAATGATGTGATATGAGATGAAATTGTGGATTTGCCGTAATAGGAAGTTTAGTGATGAAGTTCTCTTCTTTGTAATTTCTTATGTTGGATCTCTATTTATCTGTTGGGTGACTAATTATCTTCAGTATTCAAAGATTACGTTGTCTTTCTTTTTGGTTTTCAGGACTTCCGCAGTATTGTTTTTGATCATGGGTGGTTGGCAAAGATGTATTCGGTCCATGCTTGGGCATGTGCAGAAGAGAGTGGAATTGAGTTATAATGCAGCTGTCAACTCTAAATGTTATCGCTCGCAATCCACTCTTTCATATGGTCAGTGATACTTTCTTTTGGACGAGTGTATGAATCATATAAGACCTTCTAGCCCATTCAAGCATCAACATATCGTACATATAATAGAAACAGAAAATTATTTGCTAAGTTGTTCTACCTTGCAGAATCATTAAGCGTGAATATTGATTTGATGAAGTATGTAATAACTATATAACCTTTACAATCTGCCTTAAAGTTATTCTTAAAAGTTGAAAGTGGTGGAGAAAAGAAAGCATAAAAATGTTTTCAAAACAGCTTCCAAATAACTTCTTGATCAATTTGATTAGAGCTTTCTTTTGGGTTGTGTGGAACAAGAGGAACCAAAGGTTTTCGTGAACAATGAGGTGTTGATCATTAAAATGAAGAACCCATAATATTACATTACTTAATAGCATTAATTACCCAAAACCTTATGATAGACTTGTTCATAACATTACTTGGCTATAGTGTAAATTGTCTTCTTTATTCAATCTTATAACTTGTTCCTCTTCTCCAATATGGAATCCAAAATGCGATTAAATAGGTTGCAATCCTGGTAATTTGTGTTTTTGAGAGGACTCCCTCTTCATAATGTTTATCATATTATTTGTTCATTACAAACTGTTTTGCATCTGACTAAAATCAGTAGAACCACAGAATCTACAAAACTGAAGTTCCTGAGTTGAATCATTTTCTTATGCAGGGCAGTTGCCTTATTTACAGAGACTTTTGAAGCCATCCTCAACGGGCCTTACACAGCCTTACTATCGGTGTCTCCAACAGATGGTACACATACCAACCATAACATCCACTAAATCTTTATGATAATAATTTTGATAAAACACTTGTAATCATTATATTTTCTGAAAAATGTCTTCACTGTATTATCATTTTTTTTTTCCTTTTATAGGGAATTTCCAGTTCAAGGATGTTATTAGCAGATAAATCCGAGGAACCAATTTCATCTCCTCTGACTTCTGCTTTGGCTATAAGCAGTGGAAAAGATGGAGATACAGACCAGAAAGTAGTCTCTAAACCTTCCAAAGTCCAAGCTATATTGAAGGGAATCAAACAGGTGAAATCTTTAGACTCATTCTTGTTGTTACTCACCAAAAGCTGAAGTAAAAAGAGATGAAAGTCATAATGGAGTGAAACTTGCAAATTTTTTGAAGTTTTTGATTTTGTATTTATAGAACTTGATAAAATTTGAAGTTTTTATGATTTTCAATTCATACATTATCAACTTATTATATTTTAGGACAAAAAACACTTTTCATGTTTGAAGTTTGAGTTTGATGTCTACGTGGTCTGTGAAGTTTGAGGTTGTTGCCCATTTGCGCTTCAAAATTTCAAAAGTGACACTTTTAGTCTGTGAGGTTTAGAAAACAGTTCAAAATGGTTCTTGAGCTCATTTGACTGTTGGTTTACTTAGAGAGAGATGATGTCGATGTGCTAATTACTCGCTTGCTCACTGGGTAGATCTTTCTTTCCTATTTTTAGTTGGTCATCACATTTCTCTCTCTTTCCTATTTTTCTTTCTTTTTCTCATTAGCGAACTTTGCTAGCACTGTGTTGACATTCACTGTCCGCTTTCCTATGGCCTCTTTTCTCTTCTCTTTCTTCTTCTAATTTGCCTCCATCAAACGTGCACCACTATCTCCTCTTCCTTGTCTCATCTGCCACTGCCACTTGTTGTAGCTCACGTCTGGAACAACCTTTCGTAGATTTGAAACAAAGTTGAGCTACATGTTGCTGACGAGATGGTAGAAGATGTGACAAAGGGGGAGGGAGATGGTGATCTTTTCATTAGTCAACTTCCAGCCAAATGACCTTAGGGATCATTTTGAACCTTTTCCAAACCTTAGGGACAAGCCTCCTTTGAAACTTTGAGGACCAAGCTGAAATAACCCAAGCCCACCGCTAGCAAATATTGTCCACTTTGGTCCGTTACGTATCGCCATCAACCACACGGTTTTAAAATGCATCTACTAGGGAGAAGTTTTCACACCCTTATAAGAAATGCTTTGTTCCCTCTCCAACCAATGTGAGATCGCACAATCCACCTGCCTTGGGTGCCTAGCATTCTTGCAGGCACACCGGCCGGTGTCTGGCTCTGATACCATTTGTAACAGTCCAAGCCCACCACTAGCTGATATTGTCCACTTTGGCCCGTTGTGTATTGCCGTCAACTTCACGGTTTTGAAACACATCTAATATGGAGAAGTTTCCACACCCTTATAAGAAATGATTCATTCCCTCTCCAACCGATGTGAGATCTCACAAAACAAACATCAAACTCAAACTTCAAGGACCACAAATGTATTTTATACATTGGTTAAGTGCGATAACTCATTTTTTGTTGATTGAAGTAGTTTCCACGAGGTGTTGCAACTCATTTGGTTTGCCTTCTATTTTAAAAGAATTAATATAACTATTACATTTAAATTGTTCTACCAGAGTCCCAAAAAAGTCAACTTGGTTGCTGCTTTAGTTCGAGGCATGCGTGTTGAAGATGCACTGATGCAGTTACAATTGACTGTAAAACGAGCTTCAAAAACTGTTTATCAGGTGAAACACTATCTTACAGTGCTCGATGTACACCTCGTTTACCAACCACTGTGATCGAATATTATTTGATTTCATTATTTGGGATAGTCTGCTAGACTTGAGCATACAAATGCTTGAGTTTAATGAATGATTTTGGAGCGGGAGACCATTTTATTCTTAGAAATTTCAAGTTAATGCGAGTTTCATGTCATAAATTGTTCTCCCATTTCTTTTGCAATATGCAACTCCTTTGGTATTGATAGAAGTTACCGATGATTTAAAAATTTGTGTTGTGACATTTCGAAGGTCATTCACTCAGCCAAAGCAAATGCAACCCACAATCATGGACTGGATTCAGATCGGCTCCTTGTTGGTAAATGAAGCAATCAAAGACACACCATTGGTTATATTTTATGGTTTTGTTTATTTAACTTCACTTCCTGTTATATCTTGTACAGCTGAGGCATTTGTAGGCAAGGGATTATTCAAGAAAAGAATATCATATCATGCCAAAGGAAAATGTGGGATCAAAGTTAGACCAGAATGTCGGCTAACAGTTGTTCTTAGGGAAACAACCCCTGAAGAAGAGGCAGAGATTGCGAAGCTGCGAGTTAGAAAATTCCGCAAGCTTTCCAAGCGTGAAAGTCGACTCGTACCCCATAAGCTTATCGAAACCACACCTATCTGGAACCGAAAGGGCAAAGCTAGAGCAAACGAAGAAGGTCAAATGGCTTCATAATCTCGTCTCTTTCTTCTTGTCATTTCTTACTTTCATGTCCTTTTGTTCTAGACAATGTAGGCAGGATAAGTGATTTTAATGTGGTAGGAACCCAAGGGATAGCTTTTGCACAAGGAAGCCTTTGCTGCAATCACGTTCTGTTGTTTTTCTGGCATTCTTGTATAAAAATCATGTGTCCTCATTTTGTGGAGGATTTTCTTTTATTTCGCTTATACAATCTTCACAACTTTTTTGGATTTGAATGGAAGACTGTCCCCGAAAAATGTAATGACTTGTTTCACTTACATCTTTCTTTTTGGTGACTAATGAAAAAAATTATTCATGTGTTCGAGTTACCGACCAAAATTAAGACCGAATATGATAAATTTATATACATTTTTAATTGTTATATTAATGAAGAGTAATCTATAAGATTTTTGACTAATGACATGTCGACCTTTCGTCCTTCTGTTTTTTAATTCTCCCAGTTGAATTATGATGGATCTCTCAAAATTAGTTGATAAGTGATGGTTTTTAGCGATTCAAGTGATGTTGCCCCATATGCTCGTATAGTTCACTCCATATGCTCGTTTTCTACCAAATTAACATGTCCATAATTGAAAGTACAATTAAGCCACAAAATTAGCACAAAAATATGACTTTAAAATAAGGCGTTTTATAATATGTTTGCTTTAAAACAAGATAGTCGAGAATATATATATATTTTTTTATCATTTATATCTTAAAAAAAAATAATGTTTTTCTTTAAAAATAACATTTAGTTGTGTAATTCTAATAATTTGGAACAATTCTATTCGGGATGATTTGGAAAGGGCACTATTGCAATTTTTAAAGTAATAAATTATATATATATATATATATATATATATTAAAATGTGAAGGATTAAATATAAAAGATTTATAAAATGCACGCTAAATTAGAAGGAAAAAAAAATATTAAAAATAAGAGAAAAAAAAAACATATATTTAGCCAAAATTTAAAATATATTTTGTAATTTAGATAATATATTTTCGTTATAGGGGGAAGTTGTTTGGAGCTTCGGGGCGTTTGGCGTTATTGTGCAGGTTCGGTTTTCATATTCATTGGGGACGAACACCATACCTTTCTTCTGAACATAATCATCAAGCACCAGTAAGCATTCAGTTCTTCCCCAGAACTCTCCATCTCTCTTTATATTCCTGATTAATCTCTCGTTTTGTCCATACCCTTTTCCATTTTTCACTCTTGCAGTTCCCTATCGATCGATTCGCCTCACTGCCATTGATAAAGATCCCGTCTTCTCTTCCGTCCAATCCACTTCTCAGCTTCTTCCCTGCTGAAAATCTTCCCTAAATCCTTTCAGCGCTCTTTCTTTTTCAGTCTTTTCAGGTTTTCTCGTTGATCATGAACTATGAAGCCTCCGACAGTAGCGGTAAGTTGGAATTATTTGGGTTTTGTTGTGTGGGATTGTATAGTTCTTTCGAATGTAATTTGGGGTTTTTTGTTCTTTGAGCCCGGTGGGCTCTTTAATTGAGGAATTGAATTTTATCTCGAGTACAAGTGCCTGATTAGGTGGTTACTTTGACGAGGGCTGGAAAATAGGTTTTCAGTTTTTTTTGGTGTTTTATCGGAAAATTGGGGTTTGAGGTCACTTGGGGCATCCATAGAATGAAGGTTTAATTGCGTTAAGTCCTTTGTTTCTATGAGTTCTGGGATTCTTTTTTGCGTTATTTAGGTTTAATTTTTGCATTTATTCGCGAATTCTTTAAGCGAAAGGACCAGAAAGGGAGATTTTAGGGCATTGTGCTCGATCGTGTTGGATAACTTTTCTTGCTTGATTGGCAAGCCAAGGTGGTCTCTTTGGTTCGTTTTTCTCGAGGGCATAGTGAGGCAGGCTTGAACGAAAAGGAATTGTTGGACCTTCACGCGGAGAAGTTATTCCATTTGGAACTGTGAATGTAATTCCGTAAGGTTAAATTGTTCATCATTAAGGCAGTTTATAGGAGCCCAGAGGATGTTATCAGAATATCACCACTTTAATGGGGAAAATGATGAGTTATTCTAGGTGTAACATCCTTTAAAATCATGTATCCTGTATATGAAATAACTGCAGGTACTGATGATGATCTTCCACCATCACATCGTAACAGAGTTTCTAGAGGAGGACACATTTCTGGAAAGGGGAGGTCTGTTTTGAGTTCTTTTCCATACCCTAGAGTACGCAATATGGAGGCCCAGATTCATCATCTCGAACAAGAAGCTTACTGTTCAGTACTGCGTGCATTTAAAGCCCAAGCAGATGCCATTACCTGGGTGTGTCCATCTTTTTCAAGTTCTGCTAAAAAATGTTCCACGTAGTGTTTGTTGTAATATGCTTCTTTGAGGTTTATATGAAACTCTGTTCGGCAGGATAAAGAAAGCTTGATAACAGAGCTTAGGAAAGAATTGAGAGTATCAGACGACGAACACAGGGAATTGCTTGCGAGGGTTAATTCTGATGATATAATTCGTGAGATTAGGTTAGAATGTTTCTAAAGCAATTGAACTCTTAGAATTTGAAATCATTTGAGAGACATGTTTCTTCAACTCAATTATGTGTTTGTATTATGTTTTGAGATGGTACTAGGGAGTGGAGACAGGCAGGTGGGAACCTAAATGTGAGACGCAGTTCGTCCCAGCCAATCCATGATGTTGTTCCCAGTCCAACGGTTTCAGCATCCCGTAAGAAGCAGAAAACAAGTCAACTGGTATCAGTACTTTTGCTGGCTTTCATATGTCAATTTTGGCCCCTAAACCTTGTTTCTTGTTGCATTAAATGGCTCTTCCTTACTGTTTTGCTGCAACATATACGACATGGTTGTCTCTATTTTTCTGCTTCTTTTAGCTGTCTTCATTTTTTTTCTAATAAGAATACATCATTGCCTGGTTTTTCATCTATGAAACCGATGCAGCACTCTTCTTCAGTTCCTGCTGGAAGCAGACAGTTAAATAATCATAATTCTTCTGGAGCCCTTCTGGCAAATGAATCTGCTGAAGCTCCACCGTATGACACTTTAATTGGAAGGAAAGTATGGACCAGGTGGCCTGAGTACAACAGCTTCTATGAGGCTCTCATAAAAGACTATGATCCTGTTAAGGCATGTTTGAGTCTCAAAATTTCCTTTGCCTTGTTTAAGCCTATTTTTTTTGTATAACCGTTTCCTATTTCCAGTCCTCTTAAGAAAGCCCGACAGAAAAAAATGGTCTCTTACTGGTTGCTACATCTTTTCTGCTCCATATTGAATCTGATAAATACCAGCTCTAGTTTCACATGCATGGAACTCTAACGTTCTCCCATAGCACCTGTCAATTTCCTTTGTGCTGATTGCCGATTATTCTCTGTACTTACTTTTTTTCAGGGTCAGCATGCCTTGGTTTATGATATAAATACAACACGGGAGACATGGGAATGGGTCGATATTAAAGAGGTATGGTTGGGTATTGCCTTTTCTTGTGCCAAAGAATTTCTCTGCACCTTTTTAGTGAGGTTCTATTTGTTTGAAACTGTGGCTGTGTGGGTCTATGGAGTGACCTTTCCAAATTCTGTTGACAAATTTTAGGAAATGCGTGAGAATTCAACAAGATTCAGTGCATTCTTTTGAAAATGTCTTTTCTGTAATTTTCAGGAAGTGTTTTCGGGTGCATGAATGATGAAGCATGTTACTGAAACCTCTATGTTAATTATATCCTATTTGCTTTAGGCTTCGTGCACCCTAATTCCTTCTCTTAACCACTTCTTCATACGTGGAAATGCATAAATGATTAATCAAAGTGTAATTTTGGTGAAATCTAGTTTGGTTTGCTGGTTCCTCTGCTAATTTGTAGTAATATTAATTCTCTTATCAAAGTTTAGCTTGATTAGCTCAAGAGACCAAAAAAAAAAAAAAGAAAAAAAAAAGAAAAAAGAAAAACATCGTTCCAACCCATTTTCCATAATTTGATCTTATTTTTAAGTTGGAAGGTTGGCATCCGCAGTTTATTTGGATTACCTGTTGAGACGAAGATTTTAAATTCTCTTCTTCCCATAAGCATTTATTCAAGTTCTTCGTAGGATGCTATGCTGTTTGCATGAAGATTGCTTTATGGCATGTTTTACATTTTGGTGTGGTTGGGTTGTGAAGCTCAATCTTATGCAATGACTGATGTCCTGCTACCTGCAGATCCCACCCGAGGATATTCGATGGGATAGTGAGGATCCAGGAATGTCTCATCGAGGAGGCCATGGTGGACAAAGCCGTGTTTATCGAAGATCCCAAAGTTTGGGTGGTTTTGCTCCTGGTTCTGGCAGAGGGAGAGGACAGTCAAAAAACCAACCCAGAAAGGAACTTTCTCCATCTCAAAATGGTGTTGGAAAGAAAGTGTTTGACGATATAGAATTACTTAATACAGAAGCATTGGTAAAGGAGGTAAGCATATAGATATTGGAAGTAAATGAATAAACATTCAAACAGTAATATCCAATTGGTGATTTTGAACTCCAACAGGTAGAGAAAGTTTTCAATTCAAGTAATCCTGACCCCGAGGAGCTTGAAAAGGCGAAGAAAATGCTTAAAGTATGGTCCATATCATGCTATTCCAGTTCCTTTTTTCTCTGCTCAATCTTTCCTGTTCCACCTTTCCATTCAATTACGAGGTAAATCGTTTCATATTCGATGTGCAGGATCACGAGCAGGCTCTTGTGGATGCAATTTCTAGACTAACTTGTGCATCTGATGGTGAAAGTGGTAATAAATATATGTGTACTTAATAATAGTCCCTGCATTTCTGCTGTATATTTCGTATCTTTCTCTATCAGTTAGAAAATAATCACTTTAATGTGTTTGTATGAAGAAAGAACCTGGAACAGGTTTCAGTTAGCAATTTTAACTATTTTCTTAACGCTCGTGTGTATTACCCCTCCTTTTCTACAGAATAATTGCAGGAATTTCTTCTCTTTTCATTAATTAGTATTAAAACAAATGGAGATAAATGAAACTTGGATCTTAATTTTAAAGTTACACGACATTTCCAAATTTGTGAAGCTAGTGATTTCATGAAATTTGACATGAGGCGTTGGCTTCTTTTACCAATTCTATTAGCGAAGTGGATGTTCCATATCTAATCATCTTCTTTTAATGCATAGCAGAAGGGGCGCAGCCAAATGTTCATGGCCAATTAGTTGAAAAAAGCAACGATACTTGAGCTACCAAGTGCAAGTGGCAGTGCCAGTGCCATACCAACAGCATCACATTTCCAAATCTGAATATTGAAATGTCTACCATTACTGAGTTGTACCAAAAGTTATTATGTTAGTGGATCAAATTCTTTTGTTTTTTTTTTCCCCTTTAATGGGTTTTTTCTTCCAGGTAGGAGGGAGAGTTTGCCTTTCTTATGAATATCTATGGCACTATATGAATAGTAGACAACATTGTGAAAATTTAGCCCTCTGTAGCTTCTAATTGCACTATGGCTTCAATTCCAGCTTCATCAAACTCTGAATTCTTCACTCTTATCTTATGCTCTGCTGTATCAATATACAGCTCTGTGTAATCTGTATCGTCGATTCAACACAACTCTGCAAGCCGATGCAAACACGAAAGTAAAATGTTTCAGAAAAATAACCCAAGTGTTGGAATTTAGCCCTCTGTAGCTTCTAATTGAACTATGGCTTCATTTCCGGCTTCATCAAAATTTGAATTCTTCACTCTTCTCTCATGCTGCGGCATCAATATTTGTGTTCTGTGTAAGTTTTATCATCGATTCATCACAACTGCAATCCGATGCAAACTTGAAAGTAGAATGGATCAGAAAAATAACTCTCAAGTGTTGGTAAATGAATTGGGGTTAGACAAAGAATGAGAGTTGTCCTTTTGTTTTCCATCTGTATTGAAATGAGCCCAACTTATTTTCAACAGCTTTAGAAATGGAGTTGCCTTGGAAAAGTTATGTGAGGTAAATCAAACAATAACCAACTCTAGGAAACGCTTCTTGATATGTTGCATTAGTCAATGGGGTAAAGAATAACCCGGACATTCCTTTTCCAAGGTTTCCAACGTCCAACAACTACTAATCGGTCAATCATACACTTACCTCGCCCTTAAATTGAAACTGACACTTGCCCCTTCACAGAAATGCCTACATATGCAACATATCAAGTAAGTCCAGTCAGGTGTGACAGTGAGATGGAATCGTCGTGCATGTAACGAAAATGGAAACTCAAATGAGCAGCAACAATATCAGGTTTTGGAGGAGAAAATTTTGTACCTATCTAAGAGAGATTGTTTTCAAATCATTTTGAACTTTTGGTTTTTAACCTATCGCTATGAACTATGATGGGTTGGCCAACTAGTCAAGAAGACAATGTAAATAATAATGAGCTTTTAGAGAGAATGAGTTCAAGTCAGCAAGTTACCTTGATAACCAAATATAATAGGGTAAGGAGTTTGTCCCAGAGAATAGTTGAGGTGCGCACAAGCATCCCAGACGCTCTTGGATATCAAGAAAAGAACTACTTGCACTTGCCAATCTCAATTCTTCTAAAATGAAAACATCATGTCAGAACAGATTAAGAGAACAAGATAACAAATCCAAAACTACTAGAAGCAAGTACGTGTTCATTAGTTTTTGTTCTTGGAAATAGGAAACTGTCATAGAAAAAACAGCTCCTAGCCAGCTGCTTAATCACGCTCAAAATTTAAAGCTTTATTTAGTCGTCGTTTAGCAGTCTTTTAACGTAGACTCCTGCAAGAGAAATAGCTCACCCGACACATTGTATAGCACAATTGTTGAACTCAAATAGCTCACCCGACAAATAGCTCACCCAACATAAAAGATGTACCCTCTATCAAATAACGTAGACTCCTGAAAGATGCTACTAATCAACCAACATAAGTATAGCACAATTGGCATAAAAGATGTACCCTCTATCAAATAGCTCACCCGACACATTGTTGAACTCAAAAAAAAAAAAAATTAGACCATTAATCAATAATCCAAACACGATAAAAACTTAGTTTTCAATTAAAATGTAAATCGAAATTCCAAGAAAAATTGTCTCTGCCATTAAAGAAGATCCCCTACCATTAATGAAGATCGCCGTCTGAACAGCTCTCCAATGAACTCCCTTAATGGATGAAGCATCCAAGTACGAGTAGACCTACACAAAGAACCCAATTAAAAAGCATAGGGTGGAACCTAGAAACATACAACAGCACAAAAGAATTCAAATCCTTAGAACATTATACCTCTATTTTATGACTCGAGTACTTCATAAACTAAAGATAATAAAACATCGTGTATGAATATATTAACACAAAATCAATCCCACCTCTACCTTCACCTTCACCTTGAGACCCCTCCACTCATTTTTGTAGTTTAGTTTCTCGTTACTTCGGTTTGCAAGTATCATACTCCAATCTGGCAATCTCCCAAAAGAATCACTATTATCTAAGGCAAATATGGAAGATTTGAAGAATCTCGCTGTTCCAAGTATACAATCAATTGAGGGCAATACTTTAAACATGTAATTACAACCAAAGAGCTGCATAACATAAATTATTATTCTTCGTTCTCTTTGAGCCAATCTAGTAATCATGAAAAATAGACTGGAATAAAGAGAGAGTGGCAAAAGGTCAACTTCGATCAAAAACACACGTCTACAGCCAATAATCTATTGTCAAGCACCCCCACTTACCCCCAAATGCATGGATTATAAAGTTTCAACAGATTGATTATAGTCTCAGTCAATTCAAACAAACTCAAAGAAATCAAGTCCATGTCAAAATAGATACCCCTCAAATCCAAAATCTTGAGTACCACAAAACAGATTTTCGCCGATCGGAGCTGTCACTAGAGAACACAGCGAAGAAGCAAAGAAAATCATTCAAACTATAAAAAAAGGAGGTTCCATCTCGAGCTACGCATCAAGTAAAGGACCACTCAAGTCCAGTTAAAGGGGGAAACGCAAAATCCAGAACAACCAAAATACCCATCAAGACAGATGCGAAATGAAGAAAAATCCTGCAATTGAACCTACCAAACAAAAATGCGAGTAGTGCATAATTTCCAGGAGTGACTCTCGCGAAGAATCAACCAATCGCGGACGAATATCAGAGCAACCAATGAGAGGCTAACCGGATGATCTTGCCGCGCACGCCTCTGATATGGATCGCAACAGCTGGAAAATGCTTTACAAGCCAAGCGATTAGCGCTAAACGATTGAGCGGCAACATGAAAACGCCTGAAGATCCAAGCCCAGAAACCATGGCTGTAAATTGAAATTGTGCTTTACTCGATTCAATTCCCTTCCTCCCGATTAAACATAAAATCAGGACGAGAAGTTAATCAATGTTAGAGAGAGAGACAGAGAGAGACGGAAAGGACATTGAAGTGCAGCTGACGCTAAGATTGAGGGAGGAAATGCCGATGTTTTATTTGGAACCAATCCTTGAAGGTTTGTCGACATGTCGTTTTTGAGCTTTGAATCTTTGATCTAATCAAAATTCTATTAATAAGTTACATAATTTTGGTTTTTGAGTTTAATAACCCTGTAATAATAATTTCGGAGGGTTACACGTCTTACTCCCATAGAATATAATTTCCGTTCTAAGCCCTATTAAGCAAACGGAAAAAGCTCTCATTCGGCTCATTTTCCTTTAACAGAGATTTTTCGACTTGTTTAGGGCGAATCCCGACAAATTAACTGACTCGATTTTCTATCAATGATTGATTGTGTCGATGTATTTATTTGGAGTATGGATGGAAGAACAAAATTTTAAAGTCAAATAAGAAATAAAAAAAAAGATATTTAAATATTTATACATTGGGAAAAAATAAAAAAGCAAAGGTCGGTTATTTATTTTGGTTTTTTTTTTTTTTTTTTTTGGGTTAAAAATTTATGGTTTCGGTACAAAAGAAAACCAAAAAATTTCAGAATTCCGAACTCTGGCTCTCACCTGTTGCTCTCACTTTCCCGCCGTCGGATTATACTTCGGTACATCTCTGACCGTAGATCGAGGGTTTTATCCAGAATCACCCCCGTCGTCGCCGGCGGAGATGATAAAAGTAGAGCCGCCAAACGAGGAATAATCTGGGACCCTCTCCAGAACTCACTCATTTGGATCTGGGACTCACGTTCGTCGGATCTTTGTTACGCTGATTCTCGACTGCAAAAACCCTACACTTCCCGACGAAACGACCGCTTCAGGTCCTTCTATCTTCTGCTTCCTCATCAACTCCGGAACTTGCATTTTTTTTTTTTTTTTTTTGTTCTTTGTGTCTCATTTTCGCGTGTAATTTCAGATATTTAGGACATTTTCGGTGAAGAAGTGGGTTCTTGCGCCATGGTAGATTGTTTGTTTTGGTTTTTATGTGATTGGAGCTTTCTTTGGTTGCGAAGAAATACTCGGGGTACAGCTAAAGAAATGAACGTACGCAATCTTGGCCATTTCTAATTTTTTTTTTTTTTCAAACTTTGGAGTCAAATAAATTCTTTAACTTGAGCTGAAAATTGCAGTTTCTCTGTTATTTTTATCTTTCGGGAACGAAATGAAGTGGGTTTTAAAAGCATAAGAAATTTATAGCTACCCACTATGACGCCGTAGAGAGGTGCGGGGAAATTCTTATGTTCCCTTTATGGAACATGCTAAGTTTTTTCGTCATCTAGACTCGAAGTGATATGAGAGCACGTCTTCAGTTCTCATTAAAATGCATGGGAATAAATGGTGAAAAATATTTAGCCTGAGTTTGAAGGTGTATTCTTGATTTATCCCATATGATTTTGCAATATCAATGCTGCCTTAATCATTCGAATAATAACTAATGCGTTGTTCAGCGTTGTGTTTAGTTGTTCAGAAAAAAAAAGAAAAAAAACGGCGAATTTTGTCTTCTGGAAATAGATACGAGATTTATGTATCTATTTAATATTCTTAGATCTTAGCTTGTATGAATTCCTTTTCTAAGCAATCGAGGGACTAAATCTTTGCATTTTTTAGCATTCTAATATCATTCTTAAATTTTATTCGACAAGTATTTAACTTTGTAGGCATTATTGTAGCTAAAATAAACACTTTCAGCCACACTGACAATTCACGTGCTTGTCTAATAATTTGCAGGGTTCTTAGATTGTGTAGATATCATATTTTTAATATTGAGTAACCATGGCATCAAAAGGTCCCAGGTTTAAACTTGATCATGAGACAAGAGCCAAGCGTCAAAAGGTATTATATCTCTTTGGGGGAAAGAGAATTGAGAATGGTAGCTGTTTAAATTGCTTCTTTCCCCCTCTCTCCCTCCATCTAACTACCTTTTTTCACACGCACACATGGTCATTCATGCATACACACATTGGATGGTGGGTTGCTACGTTTTGAAGCATAATTCTCCAAGAATCTTAAACGATACTTCCTCTTTCTCTGTCGACTCCTGATGTTATGATGGTTCTTTGGTATCTCAGACACAGGAAGCTCCAAGAGAACCTAATCGACCTAAAACACATTGGGATCATGTTTTAGAAGAGATGGTTTGGCTTTCGAAGGTATATGACTTAGACATTAATTTAATATTTAGTTCCCATCTTGTTTGAATAATTTTAACAACATACATTTCATCCCATCATTTTTATGAATTTTTCTTTTGCAAGGATGTTTGGTGCTGAAAGTTGGGATTTTTGGAAAAATGTTTTCTTTTTCTTCCATTCATACAAGTAAATTGTTTATTTGCAGGACTTTGAGTCTGAGCGGAAATGGAAATTAGCTCAGGCAAAAAAGGTTGCTCTAAGAGCTAGCAAAGGCATGATAGATCAAGCTACACGGGAAGAAAGGAAGTTGAAGGTTCTGAATAACCTCTAATTGATTGGAAATACTTTTGTTGGTTTTCAAACAGAACAACTATGGCCTGAGAATGAACAAAACATATACGAGTTGCTTGGGCGTATCTTTTAAATATAAAAAACTGTTTCGTAAACTGATGTGTTGAAACCGTTTTCTATTACTTTTAAATTTAACAATTGTTTGTCAAATTATTTGTGATTCTTGTGTTTGACGACCAATATTCATCAATAGTTAACTCAGTCAGCTCTAAAGAAAATACATGAAGAGAGCAAAATGCTGTATTTGTTTTTTTTTTCTTTTTCTTTTCAAATCATCATGCTAAACACGTTTTCTTTATTATATGTGAACGCTACTCTTAAACAGTCCCTAGTTCTGATGTTATTCATGGGATCAAAGTTCTAATGCACGATGTTCTATTTTACTCAGGAAGAAGAGCAGCGGTTGAGAAAACTTGCTCTCAATATTTCAAAGGATGTAAAGAAGTTCTGGATGAAAATAGAAAAGCTGGCAAGTTCATTGATATAACATTATTTTCTCACAACCCATGGTTTCTTTTGGATGATTAGTTTTTGCTTTTCTTCAGAATTAGATATGATCAAGGTTTAATTTCAGGTGCTTTACAAGCATCAGATGGAGCTTGATGAGAAAAAGAAAAAGGCACTTGACAAACACCTCGAGTTTCTTTTAGGGCAAACAGAAAGGTCCTCAATTTGATTTGACTGCTAGGCTTGGCCTTTGTTGTTGGGGAGAGGGGATGATTTTTATGTACATTTTTTTTATATTACCTTATCCTCGTACCTTGTGACATAATGAAGTGAATTATCCTTCTGAAAATTTAGGTACTCAACAATGCTGGCAGAAAATCTTGTGGAAACTTATAAACCATCGCCGGTGGATTCTACACATGAGCCACACAATGTTCACTTACAAGAAATGGATGAAAATAAAGCTGTTGAAACCACAGAGTTAAATGTTGGTATGCTGAGATGATATTCTATGTTTGATTACCTTATAAAAATGGCACAGTTTTTAAATTGAAATAATTGAGAATATATTTCACAGAACACGAGGCAGACTCTGTGGACTTTGATGAAGAATTTGATGTAAGATCAGATGACGAATCAGTAAGTCCATTGTTCCTCTCTCCACAATATTTATTTTAACTTTGTTGTATGAGAGCTTTGTCGTCAATCGCCAATATTTTCAATTGTCACATGATTTTTGGTGGTTTGCATCCTCCATCTTTCTCTCTTCTTTCTCTTGGTTTTTTTTTTTTTTTTTTTTTTTTTT